TGGCTCCAGGTCCTGGCGCTCCCCGGCTCCTCCGGGGCCTGGCGCTCACGCTGTAGCTGCGCTGGTGATGCTGGCACTGGTGCTGAACATGTGCAGGCCTGGCACTTCCTGCCCTGCCGGGTCGCTCCTGCCGCAGCTGCGGACACATGCCCGCGCGTCACCTCCTTGCCCGGCAGCGCCCTTGGGTGCAGCACTTGCTTTTGCCAATAGCCAGCGGCAAGGGACTCAGGCCTCGCTGCACTCACTGACTCTGGATTCGCGCTGCCCGGGGTCCCAGGCCGCCAGGGGGGGGGATGAGCGAGGGAGGGGCAGGGCTGAGCATTTTGCACTCTCCCTCGTAAAGGACAGCAGCAGGCCAAGTTGCCAGCCTTGCGGTCCTCACCTCACCCCCCGCAGGTCCAGAGGGAGGTGCTGGTGACATCACAGGGGTGACGCAGGCTCAGAGGGCGCGTGCCTTTCCTGGCATCACACAGGACCTTCAGCTATAACAATGCCTTGCTGGAGGAGTGATGTTCTTCCCCTTTCTGGGGCCCCATTCCCTTCTGTCTGCAAGGGGGGGATGGAATAAGCCCACGTCCAGCTCCCCAAGCTAGGCTTGACTCACCCGCAGGGCCACAGAAGTGGCGTCTTTTGAACACACCAAGGCCAGCTGCAGACTGTCCAGAGAAGGGCCTGGGTGGGACCTGCCGTGAAGAGGACGCGCCCGTGTCCTGAGGGGCAGACAGGGGCCCAGGCTCCAGGCCACTGACCACACAGCAGCTTGAACGCGGCTGGCTCCCCCAGGCCAGCTGCGCCTCCAGCCCCCGCGAAGACCAAGACCAGAGAGGCAAAAGCTGTGCTCCCGAAAACATAAATGAAAGGGAATTTTAAAAGCAAGTATCTGAGACTCAAGAATGACAAAGCCCAAGGTGTTGACGGTGACGGCCAGCTGCCGGGTCACAGAGCCCGTGGGGGAGGCGGGGTGGAAACATACCTGCTGCCCGGCTCCTCTGCTCCTGCAGGGCTGCTGGGGGCAAGACCAGCGGGCTGGGGCGGGGGTGAGGGGCACAGCCACCAGCTGGCTGCTTCCCCTGCAGGGATGGCAACTTGGCCCCGGGGCCAGGCGGCCCTTTCCGCGGGGGCCAGGAGCCTGCGCTCTGCTCTCAGCCCCGTCCTGAAATTAGCACTGGTGAGCTCTGGGTTAAGCCTGGGGGCGTGTGCCTGGGGTGGGGGCATTGGGCCTGTCCGCTGGGCACCTGCGAGATGCCCGGAGACCCTGCCAGGCCATGTCCCACACTCCTTACCCGCTGGGCCAGATGGCACAAGGCCGACCTCGGAGGAAAGCCCAGGTCTCTGTTCTTCATCACCGTGGCCAGGCCGCTGCGTGGCCAGGAGGCAGCTCTGGGGCAGAGGGCCCTGGAGTGGCCGCAGCATCTTGCCCACACGCTGTGTTTCCCGTAAGACCCCCGACTTCCCTCCTGGAAGTCGTTCTGGGCGGCGCTTCCCCGACAGCCCGACTCTTGCTATCTCACTGCTGAGGGCAGCCAAGGCCGACTGCCAGGGGCTGACCGTTTCGGGACAGCAGAGATGACTCCACACGGTATCTGCCCCCACACAGTGGAGCAGTTGGCAGCAGAGGCGGGGCCCCGGCAGGGCTCGGGGCAGGCAGGGGCTGGGGGAACTGGGCAGGGGCACTCTGTGGGCTGAGTGGTGACGGAGGGGCCCCAGCGGGCGGCTGCACAAGCCCTGAGAACTTGTGTGCGTGCACGGCACAGTCATGCATCTGAGTGGACGGATGAGTGGGAAGGAGCGAAATGGGACATCTGAGGAGCAGTGGGATCTGGGGAGCAAGTGGAGAGGGAGCAGGATGCAGGTGAGCGGGAGGACACAGGTGAGGGGAGGACGAAGGTGAGCAGGAGGGCAGGTGAGCAGGAGGATGTAGGTGAGTGGGAGGACGCAGGTGAGCGCACAGTGAGGGGAGCAGGATGTAGGTGAGCGGGAGGACGCAGTGAAGGGAGCAGGACACAGGTGAGCGGGAGGACGTAGGTGAGTGGGAGGACGCAGGTGAGCGCACAGTGAGGGGAGCAGGACGCAGGTGAGCGGGAGGACGCAGAGAGGAGCCTGGAGCAAGCCACCCGCAGGCGGGGTGCCAGCCCGTCTGTCCTCCCTGCGCTGGGCAGCAAGAGGAGTGGGGTGCTGGGGAGCAGACCCCACACGTGGCGGGCCGCTGGGCTCCTGCCAGCCACCCTGGCGCAAAGGGTCTTTCTCTGCAGCTGGCTGATGGGGCCCCAAACCTCTCACTGCGCACGGCCGCTTCTATTTGTAGGTGGAACCGCGGAGACAGGGAGCTGCCGCCGCCTCGGGGCTCTGTGGCTTGACCTGTGGGCCCTGCAGAGCCCCAGGCCAGAGCGGAGGCGGCGCAGAGGAAGGAGGGGACGGCCCAGCTGCAGGCGCGGGCCGGCTGCTTCCTCTGGCACCCCGTCACCTGGTCACGAAGCCAGCGGTGCCTTCTCGCCCCACCAACAGCTTAGACAGAGGTCGCCAGACGCTGGGGCCACTGCGCGCTCTGCAGCCCCCAGCGAGGCACTTCCCAGGGCGCCCAGAGATGCAGGTCAGCGTGAGGAGAGGGCAGTCGTCACTCACTGCCTTACTAAGCACACCTGCACGTGCAGGTGCGGAAGCCTGCTGGCTTTGCTCTGCGCGTGCCCAAGCCCTGCGTGCCATGGCGGGGCAAGGCCTTCCCACAGGCAGCGCGGAAGACAGTGTGGGAGTGGCAGTCCTGGCCAGCGAAGAGCAGGCGGGGTGGGGAGCGCAAGGGGGCCCCAGGCAGCCTGGGCGGGGTGTGGCCGGCGGCCCCGCAGGGGCGCCAGGAGGCCTGAGTGGAGCCCCAGGCCCGCTCCTGCTCCAGCCCTGCTGTCATCAGGGCAACGTGGCCGGCGGGTGGCGGGAGGCGTCCCTGGGACGAGCACGAGGGGGAGCAGTATTGGGCGGTGGCGAGGGCCCCTGACGTCCTTACACCCCTGAGCATCCTTCCAGGGAGCAGCTGAAGTATGTCAGCGTCAGGGCAGCTCTGGAGGCCCCCGCAGGGCCGGCCGGTGGCCTCACCCTCGTCGCCACAGCGAGGCCCGGGGCGCGTGGCACAGCCTCGCGGTGGAGCCGCTGTCCACGCTGCCACGGCCAGGCCCCAAGGGCTCCGCCGCTCTGCCACCACGGACTGTGAGAGCCACAGGAGGCCGGTGAAGGGGCAAAGCACAAATTACAAATTACAATGGGTTTTGTCAGTGAGGGTGGGTCTGACAGGAGCCGGCGGCCGGGGTGGGCCGAGCAGTGACTCGAGCAGCCCGAGGAGCGCGGATGCCCCCTCACAGCCGCCCGGCCAGCTGCTGCCACAGGCCCGGCTGCCGGAGGGACCGGTCCTCCCCACACCAAGAGGCCAAAGGCCCTCCCGGTCACAGTTGGGGGCAGCACGTCCACGTCCTTCCAACAGCTGGAGGCTGCCCGGAAGCTTCCAGGAACAGCAGTGCCATGGGCAGGCCCGGAGGGGCGCCAGGAGGGTGGTCGGCGCGGCCATGGCCAGGAGGGCGCCGCAGCCACGCCCGCGGGCTGGGGGCCGCTGTCCCCTGGGTGCTTCCTGCCCTGGCCTCTGTCACCGCGACACCCTCCGAAGCATGACACGATCGTGTGACTGGAAGCCGCGGCAAGGGCACCCTGCCCAGCAGCTGCCTCTCCCTCCCCGCCGCCCCCGCCCCTGCATCCCCAGCCGGGCACCTCGGGGGCTTGGGCTTCAGGGCCGCACGCGGCTGTGCTGAGATGACCCCTGCACCCGCCGGCCAGCTGACCCCGAAAAGGCACGCGAGGGCCTGGCCAGGGCGCGCTCCGAGAGTGGCAGCGCTGTCTGCCACGCGCTGACTCGAGCCACGCGCCGCCACCGGCTCCAGGAGGTGCCGGGGTTCAGGCCAGAGCAGCTTCTATTTAGAGAGGCACGTCTGGGAGACGAGGGCAGGAGGCGGCCGCAGGAGGCCGCGCCCGCAGCCTCCCCACGGGAGCCCCAGCCGCTGGCCCGAGGCGGGCCTGGCCAGGCGGGGAGGGGCACCCGCACAGGGCGGGCGGCGCAGGGCCGAGGGCTCCGACAGGCGGGGCGGCCCTCGGGCTCCCAGAGAGCCGCTCCGGGGTGAGCCCGGCGTGAGGCCCACCCCACGGCTCTCGCGGACGGGGCAGGGGTGACAGCCGACTCGTGCCCAGGCGCTCAGGCCCGCAGAGCCAGGAAGGCTTTGGCGCCCCAGGGCCTGCCCCCCTCCCCAATACCCTAGCTGTTAGAGAACACACATCACGTGGAAAACTTTTATTAAAACATTGTCAAATATGCCCTTCAACACGTCACACTCTGCACACCCGCCCTGCCAGCCCCCACCCCGCTGGGCACCGCGCCTGGCAGTCTCCGGGCCAGGCGCGCCCCACTCTGGTGTGAGCATCCTCAGCTGCCAGGCCGCCGTCGCGCCCCAGGCCGAGAAGGAGGAGAGGCCAGGGGAAGGCAGAGCTGTGCTCGCCCCCACTCAGGGGCGGCAGCAGCGTCTCCTCAGCCAGCGAGGGCCCCCGGGTGGCCCTTGGCGGCGTGGCCAGGCTTGGGGATCGCTGCTCCATCGCGCGCCGGACCACAGGGTCCCGCTCCCCAGTGCCGCGGGGGAGGTGCCAGGTCTGGTGCCGCGTCTCCCCGGCTGCCGCCCCGAGTCTCTCCCTCCACCCGAGCCCACACGTGGGGCCCCTGGAGGGTCCTGAAGTCACCAGGCAAGGACACGGCCTCCCAAAGCTGGCTGCAGCAAGGCCCATCCTGCGTGGGCCGCGGGGGGGGACGGGCAGCGGAGGGGACGCCCCTCCCGGGTGGCCTGCGCCGAGGCGAGGCTGAGCGAGCTGCCGGGGGCAGAGGCCAGGACGCCTGCACTCGGCGGCCCGGAGCGGCCTGCACCCGGCCGAGCGGGGAAGACCAGACCAGGGTTTAATGGTGGGGATGGGGCGCCGCTGGGCACAGGACGTGGCACCACGCAGGCAGCACGAAGCGCCTGCGGCTTCTCTCCGCCGTGTTTCGGGAGCACGCCGTCCTGAGCACCCACCTGCTCAGCTTCTCCAGCCGCCGAAGCCCTGGACCGACCTGCAGGGAAGCGCCAAGAGGCCAGTCAGCTGGCCGCGCCCCGAACTCACCACTGGACGGCAGCGAAGTGCACGCCCACATGCAAGCACACAGGGAGGCCAGGCCAGGACTCGGGTGGGCCCGGAGACGCGCGGGAGCGTGGAGAGGAGGCGCTCTCAGGTCCCCGAAAGCACAGGCCTCTCCTCCGAGGTGGGCCCGCTCCTCCCACCCTGTCCTCGCAGGGACCGGCTGCCCACCACGCCCCGAACTGCTGCGGAACCCCCACGCTTCCAGGAGGAGCTCTCAGACAGGGCGAAAGGACACGGGATGCACGAAAGCACGAGTGGCCGGCACGGCGCCCGCTCCCGACTCGAGGCCTCGACGGAGATGATACTTACGAGCTGGAGGAGCCAAAGCTGAATGCTGAAAGGACAAAGAGGGCAAGATAAGGGCGCACGCGAGGGCAGCAGCGAGCCAGGCCACGGTGGCCCCCCCGCGCCCACGTCTGCCGGCCCACGGGGGCAGCTCGACCTGAACTCACTTCGGGTGCCCTCGGCAGCGGCACCGCCCCGCCCCTTCCCGCCTCCTCTGGAGGCCACAGTGCCGCGCTGGCTCGGCCCGCCCGCTGCTCGCTGTGGGGGCCCTGGGCCGGGGGGCCCCGGGTCTTCAGGCCGGGCTGCGCCTCAGGACACAGCCAGACGCCGCCACCGTCCGCCCGAGGGCGCGTGGGGACCAGCAGACACCTCTCCAGCATGCTGCGTGGACTGCTGACCCCGACCAGCGAGCGCCCTTATCACTGGGCTCCTCGAGTCTCATGAGAAAGTCAAGTCAGTCGTTTCCTTATTTGGGAAGTGGCACAACGTTATGAGTCTAATTAAAACCTACAAAGAACATTTTGTTTTTCAACCACTTTCAGCTTTTAAAAATGCTGAGCTGCGCAGACAGGTAAGAACCGCTTCCCGCGGGGCAGCGTTAGGACCGAGCGGGGAAGCGGACCGGCACCTACCTCCTCCCCCGGAGCCGAAGCCGGAGAAGCCCCCGCTCTGCGTCCCGAAGCCCGAGGTCTGCTGGGACAGCGACCCGAAGGTCGGCGCGTTCTGGCTGGCGAGGGTGCCGAACGAGGCGGTGCTGCTGCTCCCAAACCTGGTTCCGGGGAGAAGCGGACCCTCAGCGGGGCTCCCCCGCCCCCAGGCCTCGCGGGGGACAAGCGTGTACGCCAGCAGCCGCTCGGAGAGGAGAGGCTCGCCCAGAGCAGCCCACACCCGGCCCCGGGAGCAGAAGCCCGCCCGCGTGCTGGTCCCCCGGGGGCGGTCCCGGCCGGCCGGCCGCGCCCCCTTCACTGTCCCGGCTCTCAGCACACGCTCATGGGCAAGCCGTGCCCCCTTCTCTGCCGGCCCCTCTCTGCCGCTCGGTCCATTTACTGTGACAACGAGCGAAGGCGTCCTGCTCTCGGGTCTCCTGAGCACCAGCTGGTCAGGAGGCCCGGGGGCAACACGGCAGGGGCGTCATGCCCGAGCTGGTGCTTGTCAGCCCCTTCACCCAGTGGGGGCTCGCCCTCAGTCCGGGCTCTGGGCACGAGCCACAGTGGGCCGCGCCCCTCTCTACTGAGGAAGCAGTCGCTGGTTGCAAAAGAATCTCAAGATTCCAGTCAGCCAAGAACCTGCCCTCGGCTTGGCCGCGTCCCTACTGGAGACCTGGTCTGTAGGAACCTGGCAGGAGTGTGGGTTTCAATGTTTTCCCGGGGGAACTGAAGCGTCCCGGCAGTCTCCCTGCCACCCAGGAAGCAACACAACTCACCAGAACCTTTCCATGGTGGCGAGAGGCTGAGCAAAATTAGAGAACTTGCTCTCAGGATCAAGTCGCCGCACCTCACCGAGACTCATCCCCAGCTCCTGAGCCGCCCGAAGCGCCCCCAGCCCCCAAGTGCATGTCCCGAGCTCAGTGCTGAGGGCACCAGGTCTGCCCAGACGCTGGCCCCAGACCCACGGCCTCCGAGTGAGGCGCTGGACTCCCTGCCACGGGGATCTGGCTGGGACGTGGCGAAGGCTTTTCACCTTGGGGTTTTGGCAAGCGGGCTGAATTTCTGGGGCTGCGGGCAAGCAATACCCCTATCACGGCATTTGCCAGGACGGCTGTGCCGGGACCCAGAGTGGAGTGGGGGACACAGGAGGTGCATGCGCGTGGACAGAGGCCTCCTGCACCATCCCCCCAAGAGGCAAGAGCCCAGGGAGGCTGCCCCAGAGAAGCTTCCTTGGAGAAGCCCCCACCCGAGGCTTCAACACCAGCGGGCTGACCCTCCCCGCGCTCCCCACGAGGGGTGGCCACGTGCTGTGTCCACCAGACACGCCCGCGCCGGAAGACTGAGTCTCCCCAGACAGGGCAGGAACCGGGCGGCTGCTGTCTGGGGGGCCTGCTGGTTTCAGGGTGGGGCCCGTGGTTGAGTCGGAGCAAGAGCCCGGGCCGGCACCGCGGCCGGCCCGGGCAGTGGGCGCCTGAGGCTGCCGGGCTTACCCGAATCCTCCCGCGCTGGCGGCCGCAGTGCCCTCTCCGAACACTTTGCCTCCCGTCGAGCCCAGAGGGCTTGTAAAGGCTGGGGCTGAACCGAATGCTGGCACCCCTCCAAACCCCGGGGATCCCCCAAAAGTAGGAGGGCTGCCAAACACTGGAGCAGCACCGAAGCCACCTGAGCAAAACAGAGGCAAACAAACAGAAACAGGGAGAAAGGAAGGACACAGAGAGGACAATGAGCAGCGAGAAACGAAATCAAAAGGGAGGAGAAAAGGGTAAAATACGTTAGACACTCAAAGGCCACGGTCGTAACCAAGGCTTATACCTCTCTGTCATCCAAGCAATAATCCAAGTGGACACAGGACACCCCCTGCCCCTCCCCCCCACCATGACTGGCCAGGGCCTGGGTCCACGCTCGACAGCTCTGTGAGTGGACGGGCTCCAGCAGGCCGCTGGCTCTCAAAGGCGCAGTCCCTCCCAGGAGAGAGTGGGGCTTCTCAGCCCTAAGTCTGGCAAGACCAGCCACTCCCCGGGAACTGGGCTGGCGGTTCGGGTCCCTTCTCACCCCCGACGCTCCCACGTGCCACTCTGTGCCCCATGACAAGGGCTCTGGGGACTCTGGACCCGCCCGCTGTTTCTCATAACACAGGCAAAGCTTCCCGCTCGGGGGACACCCACGGTATGAAATGAGAGGTTCAAGGTCCCCTCTGGGGGAGAGCTGTGAGAGGGGCTGCAGTGCAGCTGGAGACGCAGGGCTGGCGGGCAGCCGGCTCTCCAGCTCGCTGGTCGCTCCCTCAGTGCACGCAAGGGCCTTGAGAGACGTGTTCTCTCTGCAGCAGGAGCTCCTCGGAGCAAGCACACGGATTTCTCGTCTGGAGAAGGCTGCTCGACACATGGGATGAGACGCCGGGCGGAGCCCACCTGCGGCCGCACACGGCTGGCAAGGCCAGGCGGCCGCCCGGGGAAGGCGCCCCCGAGCCCTTCCGCTGCCCCGGCGTGGGCCCCGAGGCCCTGGGCCTGCTGTCCTCCCCTCGGCTCTGGGCAGGCGCTGCGCGTGTGGAAGGAATGGAAGAAACGGTGCCAGCAGTGGGCCTGGAGAGGTGCTTTCCGCCCACGAACGTGCGGGCTCTCAGCTGCATTATCTATCTCCGGACTCGGCCTGCGCGGCCGTCACCGCCAGCGGTCACGCAGCCGCGAAGGCACGTCTGGCGGGGCACGTATTTGGGCTAACATTCTGTGTTTTAAAACCTTGAGTGAAATTCCAAGCCCTGATAATGGAGACTGATGGCTGCAAATATAACAGGCTGGAAAAAAAAAAGTGCTAAAACCCTCGCCGTGAATTATTGAAGACGGTCTCCGATCTCGTTACACACAGGCCTGTATCTACTGCCTCAGGCTTCTTCGTGGAAGGAGTGAAAAGTGAGATGCCACAGTGACAGTCCGCTGGACAGGGAGGCGGCCGCATGCACACGCACGCCCACACGGCCCCCAGACAGGTCACAGCCGAAGCGGCCGCCGGAGCGCGTCTCCTTTGAGAAAGGGAGTCACTTCCCGTGGGGGGCAGGGTCTGACATCACAAGGAGCCCCATTTCCACGGTTTCCTTCTTCAGGAGAAATGGAAGCGTCCTGGCCGTCATGCCGGCAGTGCCCCCCTCCGGGGGGCACGGGCCAGGTGTGCTGGCGCATGCTGGAACAGGTGGCTTTACTCCTCCCAGGAACCAGGGGTCCCTGGCTGCACGGGTGAGGAGGCAGAGGCTCAGGACTCAGCCTGAGGGACTGAGACCCGTCACCCACCCAAAGGCGTCTTGCTGCCTTCCTCCACCCCACTAGGCCCAAAGCTCCCGCCCCGGAGCAGTGGGGTGAAACTGGAGGACAGGGGCGGCCAAGACCACCTCCGGGGCATCCCGCGTCTCTCCTCCGTGACTCTCTGGCAGCAGCAGCACTGCTTTCTACAGTAGGGGGTGACACCCCCTGGCCTTTGTACAGACACAGCCAATCCCTCGGCCTAAAAATCGCTCTCGGAGCAAAAAGTGGCCCGTCCCTCTGGTGGCTGGGGCGCCTGGCCGCCACCAGAAAGGCTGCCCTGCACCCGCAGCGCCAGCCTCCCGCCCTCCGGGGCAGCACCGGCAGCAGGCCCCTGCCTCGCGCACGCCCGGGTTTGAAAGTAAGCGCTCCGGGCTACGCCGCAAGCCAGACGGCTCACGGGGCAAATGATCAAACAGGAAAATGCTCTGAAACGTGGGGGAGATATATTTTCTCTCTGACTAAAAAGTGCAAGGGTCAGATTCTCCAATAACTGGCACGAGCCCAGGGCAGGGACAACACGTAAGAAAAGCACATGCGTCAAGTGATCACATTCCTCGAATAAAGCCGTGATGATTCACAACGAGCACTTCTTAGACGCGCTGTCTGCGGTGGTCCTCACGTCTAAATCGGCGCCACAGTGGCGCCGTGGGCCAGAGCGGCCAACGCCCCTGGGAAGAGCGCAGAGGCCAGCTGTCGGCGGGCGCATGCGCAGGCCTGCACGCCACGGCCACCTGGGGTCTCGAGGGGGTGCTGAGCGGTCACCTCTGCACCCGCTTCGGCTCCATACCTCCGACCCACGGGGGCGGCCTTCTCCGGGCCTCCCTCTAGCCCTGCCGCACGCGTGCCGCTCGGCGCGGCGGGGACCCCGAGCGTACGTGTGCCCGCCTACGCTCACGCCTGCGAGGGAAGGGCGTCCCGTCCAGGCTGGGTTCCCTAAGCTGCCGGAATAGGCCTCCGCACCCTGAGACTTTGACCTGGAGCAAGCGGCTTAGAAAACCGATAGTTTCCTGCCACGAGGTTTCTGAGTCCTCAGAAGGCTGAGAGTGTTGTGACTGCAAATAACACACACTAAGGGCTGCCTCGTTCCTAGCAACTAACCCACGGCGAAACTGCTCGCCACAGGCGGGATCCCCGCAGGTGCAACTCCCAGGGACGCGCACGCATCAAGCGAGGGCCGGCCGCACTCAACCGTGGAGCGAGCTTGCTGCACGCTCACGCGAACGTGGGAGCGGCGCGTCTGTGCGCGCCACACGCCAAAGTAGCACAAAAAGGGGATGTGACAGCGTGTGAGGGGCCCCGGCGAGTGTGCTCAGGGCCATCCTGCTACGGCAAAGTTCCCCTTTCCTACAGGCCCTGCTGTTCGGCCAGGGCTCAGTGGTGCGAGTGCTCTTTCCTAAGGAGACAGTAAGTTCCCGAGTGTAACAGCCAGCACTTTTTAAACATGTTTCTGGAAACCTAGAACACTGAGGCGCCACAAACACACCGGGGTGGCGCCCACTCCCATCCCGCGCCGCGCCGCGCCGCGAGAGCCCGGGCAGGCGCCTGCAGCCGCAGTACCTGTCTTGCTGGGCGCGGAAAACCCGAAGCCCTGGGACGCCACACTCCCTCCTCCGGAGCTGAAGGTGCCGGCAGGCTTCTGCTCACCAAAGGACGAGCTGGCAAACCCGCCGAACGTCTTGGCCCCACTGTTTCCGAAGAGGCTGGAGGTATCTGCAGGAAGGGGGACAGCGTGAGGAGGCAGGCATCCTCTGCCCTGGAAGAGAGGGGCGAGCCCCTGGTGTCTGACACGGGGGTCTGGGGCCCAGGGGTCGAACTCTAGAGAATGGACATGGGCTCCAAGGCTCGTCCTCCTGCTGACGAGTGTCCCGTCACTTTGGCACCAAGACTCAGGCTTTCCTGGGAAAAATACACCCAGCACAGAAGAAAGTGCAGCCGTGGGCCCCAAGGAGGTTCCGCTGCAGAAACTCCTCTGTTTCCTGCAGGTCACGGGCCCACCAGACACAGGAGGGCTGGGCCAGGCCTGCCACTTGCCCCAGACGGCCCCGGCTCCTCACGGGCACCGACTTCATGTTTTGTCTCACTAGATCCCAGCCAAGGAGGCCTGCAGCACTCTGCCTGGGTGGCCGGGCAGGGCGGGCCTGCGGTGCCTCGCCTGCACCAGGGCAGAGGACAACCAGGGAGGACGATACTCCTGCCCCTCACCTGCCGGGAGCTGCGGGTCTGAGAGCATAAGCCCAGTAAGGCCTGCAGCGGTTTATAAGAGGCGCAACAAAGCCCCTGACCTCCAGACACTCGCCTGAGCGGGTCACCAACTTCACACGCAATCCCCTCCTAGACTTAAAGGAACAAACCCGCCAGGCAGTACGTGAGTAGCCAGAGCACAGGGCGACAGCGCGCGCGTGGGACCGCTCCTGAGCCTCTCTGGGCTGTGGGTCAGCCGGGCAGAGAGAGCTGGAGAGGGCGTGAGACGCCCGGGAGCACGATCTCACAGGCGATACCGTCTCAGGGTAAACCCGGTCCTAATACGCCGCTGTCCGGTGCCTCCTCTGTGCCAGAAGCTGTGTTTGGCACAGTGTATGCGATAAGGCCGAGGCCCAGGCCTGTCACTTTCTCACTTCACACCAACAGTAAACAAGCCCGGCACTTGGGTCCCTGGGTGTGCTTCCTCCCTGCAAACCGGGGTGCCGCGCGTCTCTGAAGCACACTCATGGTGCCACATCCCGGAGCCCTCAATTCTGTACTGAGGCGGCGGGGGAGGGGAGATGGTGTGCCTCTCTGGGTCTTCAGCCCTGCTTCCGCCTAGGCCTCAGCCTGTTTTTGCCTGCTCCCCACAGCAAGTCTGCTCAAGAGCGCACCTGCAACACCAGCCTGGAAAACTACTAGACTCAATTCTTAAATCTCTTCATTCCAGGATTCTAAATTTCTCCTTGCAGAGTGAAAGCTCAAGAACAAAAATTCTGATTATGCAACTTCACAAGTCAAAAGGTATGACTATGATCTCCCCTTCTACATTCCTGGCCAGAGAGTAACGTCAAAGTAACCGCTTTATGAATCCAGGAGACTCAGGACAGCTCTGCTTTGAACTCCCTGCGTCTTTGTATTAACGGCATGACGGCCTTGCCCGCAGAACGCGAGCTCTGGGTTCACGGAGACCCGCACCGCACAAGAGAAGCTTCCGGCACAGCAATACGAGGAGACGAGGCCGAGACGGGCAGCTCCCGCCCCCACCTCGGTCTCCAACTGCAGCAGGGTATGTTTTTCTTTAAAGGTTTAAACAAACAAATTTCTTTCATTTCCAGCCATGGACAGACAGATGAAGAAAGAATTCTCAGCATCAGAGGAAGATGAAAGGGCCAACAGAAAGACAGCTTTAGATGAAAATCAGACAGAAACGTAGATGAGAAATATTGAAGGCTCCAACTTCTGGGCATCATTTACCACAGTCCCTGAATTTTAAAGCAAATTCAAAGACAGTGCGATGCAAAGGAAAATCCAGATGCTTCTCCAAGCACCCCCCCCCCCCGCCCTCTTTATGCCCATCTCTGCATTCACATTCACTGTGGTGCTGAGACAGCAGGGACGTGCTGGTGCACAGACCCTCCTGCAGCTCTGAGGTCTTGTCACGATTATACAGGCATCTCACGAAAAAGCCAAAAATAAAAACCAGAATTGAAATAGACATCCCTGCTTTGGGGCAGACATTTTAAATGGCCTTCTAGGTCTTCTCTTGCTGCACCTGTCACCGATGTTTTGCGACCAGCACGAGGGTGGTGGCTGAGGCACTGGGGACCCAAGGAGCAGGGAGACGCTCGACTTACTCGGGGCGGCTGTAGACCCGAAGCCCCCGCTGGCCGAGCTGAACGGGTTCTTGTTGGCGGCATCCTGGCTGGGTTTCCCTCCGAGGCCACTGAAGAAGCCGCCCCCTCTCGCGGTGTTTCCAGACCCGAACACGCTCCCGGCGGCGGAGGACGGCTGCTGCAAGACAAAAGGGGCAGGCGGCGAGCCAGGCTGAGAGCCAGGCTGAGGTGGCGGCCAGCGGCAGGCCCCCGGAAGGAGGCCCTCGCAGCCGGGGGAGTGGGGAAGCTGGGGCTCTGGGGGCGGCCCTCCCGCCACACGAGCGGCCGGCCCGCCCGGGACGCCCTGCCGCCCTGAGCTCGCAAGCTTCTCCGCGTTCACGGCTCTCTGCCAACGAGACCTCTGCAGGCGGGGGCTCACGCGCTTGCACACCCGCGTCTCTGCCGCCTCTGCTGGATGCTGCCAGGGCAGGGAAAGCAGCCCTTGAGCGCCCCTCCTCAAGCAAAAAGTGTGAAGCTCTCTCCGTGCTATTATCAGGCACCACTGCTCTGCGCCCTCCAGCGTTTGCCTGAGCTCCTCAGGACCGACAACTGTGATGCCCACGTCTTTCTCCCAGTGTGCGTGCTGTTATCTCATCATGACTCTCCCGGCAGTGCAGAGACAAGCGTCAGTTAGCTCCACTGTGGCGGTGACAGCCACAGCTGAGTTCTGTCCGAGTCTGCAAATCTCGTGTCCAGAGGATGCTGCCGACGGGGGGAACCTGAGACCCAGCTGGAGTGGGCGGCACCCACGCTGGTCCCTCGGGCCGCTGGCGCCGTCCTGAGGGGCGGCCGACACCAGGCCCGTGCGCTGTCTCCTTGGCGCTCACGCAGGTAGCGTGGGCTTTTAGAAGAGGGTCACTGTGCCCAGGAGCCCCCTTCTTGGGGCCAGGGGTGGGCAGCGTGGTCGGGGATCCCGCTTCTATAAAATGGGGCTAAGCGGGTGAGTGGAGAGCGCCGAGGCTGCGGAGTGCTCCGGAACGGCAGCCAGGATGTGCCAGACACGGCTGCGGTTCAGCACTTTGACAGCAACACGGGGAGGACCCAGGACGTGGCGCTCCTCTGAGCACTTTGCGGAAGCCGCCCCTTGTGGCTGTGCTGGCGTGTGCCGGCTCGGGAGCGGCAGACTGACACCCGCCTTCGGCCTGGGCCTTGATGCGGGCGCCCCAGAGCACTTTCTGTAGGCACATACCTAATTTGGGGCCAGGCCGTGCTGCAGGTGCCAGAGAGGCCTCCGTGGGCAAGACAGGCTGAGACTGCTCGCGGAGCCCACACACGACTCCTTCAGGAAACAGACGCTCATAAAGTGAAAACCAACCGGCAGTCAGTCTACCACTAGCTCCCGCTAACAGCTCTCCAAGGCCCCAACTTGGCCCTGTCCACAGTGGCATCTTCCTCCGCTGCCCTCCCCTTCACTGGCACAGTGATGCTGGCCTTTGTGCCCTGAACACAACAAACAAGTTTTTACCCCAGGGCAGCAGCCTGAATGAACCTGCCACTCACTAGGTCCTCTGCTTTGTTTCCTTCGACCCCATGGCCACGCCGGGTGCTCGGCAGCGGGGCAGCTCTGTGACACCGCAGCCCAAGCCAGCCCTGACCGCCCGGCTCTGCCAGCCAGCAGGCCCTGGCAGGACAGCGGCAGCACGGAGGCGGGGACGGCCTGCAGCGGGCCGAGGCACAGACACTGTCCAACACGGACACTCTTGTTCAATAAAAACGGCAACTCCAGAGGCTCAACCTAATTTCAAAAATGTGAACAGCTGCAGACGTGGAGACGAGCACGCTGCAAGCGGGGGCGGGCCTCATTCATGAAAACGGCATCAAGTAAGTCTAACACTACGAAGACTGGAAAATTTTAAAGTGCCGGATACGACAGCAAGAGTATGATGAACCCGCAGAGTGCCTCCTCCGGCTTCAACAGGCAACGCATGAGCTCACTTACTCCCCCCACCAGTATAAGCTAAACCACAACGCCATGTCTAAAAAACGGAACAGTGATGCTTTGCTAGCATTACATAGAGAGCAAGGTATTAAAGACCCAGCCTTAGAACACTTCCCCAAATCAAACAGTTCCATCAAGACTCCAGACCAGACAGCCCAGAAGCCGCTCCAGAAGGATGGAGCCAGCCACCGGCCATGGAATGCTGCTGGATAAGCCACCTGCTTCGTCAACAGCTGCATCACGAGGGAAACAGAGGTGAGGCAGGGTGATGACAGACCGGCCAGGCCTCGCCACCGATCTCCGTGTGTGAACCAGAAACAAATGACAGCGGAGGCTCAGCGGGCTCGCAGATTCGTTCTCTCCTCCCGGCCATGGCCTCTCTGCACCAGCTCGCCAGACACTCAGGCAGGCGGGAAGCAGCCCGGCCCGGCCCCTCGGCCCTGACTGGAGCCATGTGCCGCTGTCTGGCATGGGTCAGCCCAGCCGTCAGCTCGGACAGAGGAACCCCCCCAGACCCTGGAAGGAAGCGGGTCCCCGGTCACGACAAGCGCTGCCCGGGGAGTGGGGGTGCCCGCAACTGAAGACAGGTCCAGACTCCCAGTGACACATCTCACGAGCGAGCTGCTTAGCGCGAGCGTCGCCGGAGCCACCGTGCGATCCCGCCCAGCCGACAATCTGGGTGAGGGTTTCTTGCAACTCCTTTAGCACAGTTGCCATTCTAAAGTCTATGCCAGTTCGTTTCAGTATCTGGATCACCTACAGGTTGTTTTCTGCCGAAGCTGTTGTCCTCTTATTTTCACTTCTTCTTAGGTTTCATGACTTGGCCTTTGTACACAGAAGAACAGTGGCATTCTGACTGAAGATTAACGCTCCTCCTACAGAGAGGCCACCCCTTTAGCTATAGGCCGGTGAGGAGGCCATGATTCGATTTCAGCAGAGTTGAACTAATCAGCCCTGAGTCAGACTGGAGTGGACCCACCCCTGGTCAGCCCAGCACAGAGCCATCTTTGCTCAGGAGCCGGCGACATCTGACACACACTTTGCCGGGGCGCACGTCCTCTGCGTTTAAGGGCCCAGCCATGGAAGCAAGGCTATGCAGGCGTTTTCTACTCTTTGGTTCTGCTTCATCTCCTTTCTCTCAGTCCACTGCACATGCAGACTGAGTTTTGCTTACCAAGTCACCTGCTGATGGCCACCTAGCTGGTTCCCACCTTTTGGTCACCTTGACATAGCCACAGTGAGCCTGGTGAACAGGGCAGGTCTGGGTCCTTGCTCTCAGTTCCTCTGGGAGTGTGCCTGGCGGGATGAGCTTTCTGAGTAACCAAACACTTCCGGCGATTCCAACCAGTAATGAGGGTGCCAGTTACTCAACATCCTCGTCAATACCTCTTCGCACTCTCAGATTCCAGGATCGGTGTGGCGCGGCATCGCATTACGGCTGGCTTTCATCTTTCTCACGTTTAACCCGATGTGCTTGCTCCCGTTCTTGCCAACAGCCTCTTCTGGCGTCTTCTCCGGTCAGTAATTTTCTCAATCTTTAGCCAGGCCTCTAACCTGGACCCAACATTGCCCCCAGGTGCTAATGTACCATCATGCTCTCCTCTGATGGGCTGCCCTGTTGGAGTTAACACTCTGGGCTTCCTGCCACTCTGACAGTCCAAGCATGGACACAGCAGCATTCTTCCTAGACTTACATCTGGGTGGAGCCCACTGCCCGTCCCTTGACCCTGGTGGGGAGTCCGCCTCGAACAAGAGGATGCAGCATGAACAGTGCTCTGTGACTCCTGAGGCTAGGCTGTCACATATAGCTACTGTCTGGTTCCCACGCTTTTCTGGAACATTCCTGCTTGGAATCCAGTCGCCATGTTGCATGGAGCCCAGGCCACAAACCACATGTTAGTGTTCTGGCCAACAGCCAGGCTACTCTCAGACACAGGAGTGAGCTCTAGCCGTCCGTTCTTCAAGCATCGACCACACGCATCACTACTTAGTCTCCACGGTGCCAGCATGAATGTACGACCTACGACATCCGCACCGAATAAACAAATGGCGGCTAGATACACACGAGTGACAGTGTCGCGCACACGCCAGCTACTAGGGTTGGGGTGACCTGCCACCCGGCACCACCTGATTCTGGCAGCCACATGTGACCTTTATACTTTCTCTGGTACTGGAAGTAGAAAGGTTTGTATGATCTGGTTATTCTGGTGATCTTGGAACACTCAAAAAATTTTCCATATAAATTACTAATAGTGTTTCCAGGTTAAAAAAAAAGTAACCTGGCTTCTAGCTGCGCCCATCCTGGCTTTTTGTGGTCCTTCCCATTTTAGGGGGGCGGCGGAGGGATGTCTGTCCTTCACTTGCACTGTTTGTAGATCCTGAACACGATCGCTCCAGCCGTCACATCTCCACACCTTCCCTATCTCATGGCTGGTTTGCTCAGACTTAAGCAAGCCATACTCTTAATGAGGTCCAATTTTCTTTCCGCTTTAAGAATACTTTTGACAGTTTCCTGTAGGTCTCAGATAATCTCTCAGTATCTGTTCATCTGAAAAATGCCTTGATTTCACTTCATCCTTTCGAGAGCTTTTCGCCTGGCTTAGATGCGCAGGCGGGAAGACTGCCTTTCACCGCCTCTGCGGCCAGCCCCGCGGCTGCGCCTTCGAAGGGACGCGCCTTTTTCTCCAAAGGGCGCTTCAATGTCTCCCGGCCTCTGCAGGCCTGCGGCTTCACTCGAGGCGGTCTCGAACCCAACTCCTCACACATGCTGCCTGCCACGCTGCAGCGTGATCACGGATTGCCGTTTTTGGAAAATTCTGTTTTCTCCTTCACCGGCAGCACATTCTTTCCCCTCACATTATTCTCGCTCTCTCCTCATTAAACGCAGAGGCATTCCCTCTGAAGGTTTCTGCTCCTGTGCATTTCCTTGGCTCCTACCGCGCATCCCAGGGACAATGGTCTGGCCTAGCTTCCTGTTCCCTTCCAGTCCTGGGCCAAGTGCAGTCTGCCTGATTCTGCAAACACACCTTCCCAACAGACAGGCGTGCTCATTCACCGACACGCTGTCTGTGGCTGCCTCCGTGGCGCAGGTGAGTAGCTGGGGCAGAAACTAAGACATTTACTGTCTGGTGAGTTCTAGTGTGTTACTGTTCTTCTCAACTGGGTCTAATCTGCTGCATTTAATTTTAATTAACGTGTATTTCTACAAGTGCTATTTGATTCTTTTTCAAAGCTGCTATGCTACTCGTTACATTTTTTTTAATTAAATATATATTTTTAAAAGTTTATTTATTTATGTGTACAGAGCTGGGGTACAGGCTAGAGGTGCAGGGGAGGTGAGAGGAGTCACCAGAGACAGAGTGGGCAGCAGAATAAGCCGACTAATGAAGTACACTGCTGAGGGGAGCAGTGGGCAGGTCAGGAGAGGGCTGCGGCGCCATGCAGGTCACCTCAGGGGCAGGGATCAAACTCACGCTAAAGAAGCTTTATCTTCTCAGTGCTGTGCTTTGACCCGCTCTGCCACCAGGGAGGGCCAATTTCCTACTTTTTAATGGCATTTTGACATTGTCTTTCTTTCCTTTAAAGATGTCAAACAGCTTGTTTATAGGCTAGGAAGCCTTTGCAAACGCGCGCCGTGTGTCCCCGGGGACCTGAGGCGAGGGGACGTGGCCCCGAAGTGCGTGTTGGGGAGCGAGTCGCCCCTCCTGGGGCCAGACTCCTGGTTTCTGTGCATCCCTTTGCTCTCAGGGTGATTAACAGAAAAGTCAAACTTTCTGAGATTAGTCCATGTGCTCAGGCAAGTGTGGCTTCTGCTGCTCAAACTTCCGTGGGGCCTCTTCCCTGAAAAGCCGCCTTAGGGAAGTAACGCTGCAGCCTGTCAGTGCTTCGAGATACAGCGCTTACCAGTGCGCTTAGCCGTTTGGTGCGACCCCTTGTCTGCATGGCCTCACCTGTCACTACCAGACACTGAGCTGGAGTGGTCGCTCCTCTCAGGGACCACTGGCTAGCGCAGAGCCCATCTTCAAAGGAGAGAGAGAAAACCTCCTACTGAAAACGTGTCGGGCATGGGTGCTACCAGTGCGGTAACGACTGGGCCGACACCACTTCCACCGTGGGAACCGCTCTCGTTCCAGGGACGCCTCAGGCCCTGCTTCCGGAGGGCGCCTCAAGCCCGGACCTAAAAGCAGCTGGCGTGTGGCGTCACAGGCGATTTAGCCTGCCTGGCCCTCAGGGTTCTCACTGGCCCTCATGGAAGTACCAGTGATGACTCTTAAAGCCACGCCCAGCACAAGGCAGCGGGCAGCTTGGCGTCTCGAGTGGCTCAGTGGCCGAAGGGCCCCGGGCTCGTTCCTCTAGCACATGGCTGCACCTGCCTTCTGTGGCACATGCTGTTTTAAATAAACTTTTTAAAATGTAAAAACCATTCTTAACACAAAGGCCTTAAAAAACAGGTTTAGCTCATGGGGCACAGCCTGCCACGCCCTGGTCTAACAGAGCAGGAGGAAACCGGTGCTCCCCGGCCACGCGCCTTCCAGGGCTTTCCTGGAGGACTGTCCAGGAACAAACTGCTGACTGCTCTGACAGGAGCCCAGGACTTCTGCGCCAAGGGGCACAGGCAGGTAGCGCCGCACGGCACCATCTGACTGGCCCCATGGGGACAGGGTGGCGGGGTGCACTGCATGCTGGCCCAAGGGGAGGGTGTGTGTGGCAGCAGCAGTGGCAACACGTACACACTTACCTGGCCAAAGACGGTCCCACTAGCACCAGCTGCTTGACCAAACAATGAGCCAGTATTACTAGACCCAAAACCTGTAAAATAAGAAAAGAAAGCACGAGTCTAGCTTTTCCAACAGCAACGTGGGTTCTAAAGGTGGCGCTCAGGTGTGCTGCGATACCCCACAACAAATCAACTCGTGAGCAAAGGTGGAGAGAGCACTGGGTCCGGACGCCTTTCTCATCGCCAGCACGTGGTGACAGCAAACTCCAAAGCCCAAGGATCGATCCCCGTCTCCTTCCAAGCCCAGAAGGCCAGTCTGGATCCTCGGCTGGCAGGAGTCTTCCCGAGGGCAGACTCGGCAACGCGACTATTTCTACTGCCTGGCTCTCTGGAATCTCAAATACCAGATTCTGTCAATGGGGTTTATCTTTCTTCTGGGAGGATGAGGTGCGGGCTCAACTGGGCCTGGGGGGACCCAGGCAGAATTCTGCACCACGGACCCCTCGGTTGGGCGAACGAGGAGCTCTGTGCTCAGGCCCTCGCTAATCTGGGCTGCTGAGCTTGGAGCCAGCGATCCTCTCCGGCTGGAGCAGACTGCTCAGGCCCTTTCCACAGAGCCACACACCACAGCCTGCGCAGGCTCCGACTCTCTGCAACAGCTCGCTCACGCCTGGGCAAGAGGCCCGCTCACGCCCTGACCGTGGTAAGGGGCTCGCCGGGCCCTGCTCTCCCGCTGCGGTGAGTCATGGCCCTCCACTGAGCCAGCGGGCTGCAGTGGCCCGAGCGCCCGCACCACGTGGCTCGCACGGAACAGGTGACAGGCTCTGGGGCTGACCGCTTCCTGCAGGAGGAAGGGGACGGGTCCCCGCCTAGAAAATCACAACCCATTTTCAAATAAATTGTCGCGGAAGCAGTAAGCGGGGTGCCGACCGCTGGTCGCCCTGCCTACCGAGGAGTGCAGTCCTAGCGCTGCCCAGAGCACGGCTGCTGAACAGCAGCTTGCTGAAGGCAAGCATCAGGGCCAAACTCTGGCTTTCAGACTGTCCGTCTGTTGATAGCTTTTAAAGAACAGCACCTGCTGTTCACTTTCAAAAGCAGAACAGCTAAAATTTTTAAAAAATGACAAGACAGGATAAACACAAGGTGTCTGCGCTTTGCGCTGCCAGACGGTGTCAGAGGAAGTGTAAGTGCCGGCGGCAGCGCGCGGACCCCCGCGGGCCCCGCCTGACACGGGGCGGCCCTCCGCAGACATCGTCGGCCCTCTACAGAACCTGCCAAACTTCAGCGCTCCGAGTCCTGAGTCATCACTGGGAGGGAGGCTCACCCCAGAGGCTTCCTGCCCTGCGAGACGGGCACTCGGGCAGAGTAGACCACAGAGCCCGCGGAGCAGCGGCACCTCGCCGCAGCCTGAGCCCCTGTGCGCCCCAGCCCCTCCGGGCCTCCCGTCTTTCCTTCCATCACAGAAGCCACCAGGTTGGGCACCCACGTCTCAGACCACGCAGAGGCGACCCAAGCGGACACCGTCCTCAGGTCTTACCTGAAGCCTGACAGAAGCTAAATCCAGAGGATGCTGACGTGGTGCTGGTGGCCGAGGTGCTGCCAAAGACAGAGCCGCCTTGGCCGAAGCCGGGGCTCTGGCCGAAAGCAGGAGGGTTGCTCTGGCCAAACAGGCCCCCTCCCGTGCTGGCAGAAGCCGGTCCGAATGAGAAGGAGCTGGAGCTGCTGGTGCTGGAAGAGGCGCCAAAGACATTCGCGCCGGTCGACGTGGGGGTGGAGGAGACGGACTGGCCAAAGGCGGGCACGGAGCTGAACCCAGGCTGGCTGAAGGAGAAGCTGCTCGCCGGGCTGCTGGTCGACTGCCCAAAGGCCGGGGCCTGCCCGAAGGTGGTCTGCCCGAAGACGCCTGTGGCTGTGGCGCCGAAGGCCGGGCTTCCGAAGCCCGAGCTGCTGACCTGCGGGGGGGCGGCGGCCGTGGTGGCCGCGCTGCCTGTCTGCTGCCCGAACAGGCTCGGGGCGGTGCTGGCCGTCCCCTGTCCGAACAAGGGCGTGGATGAGGGGGCAGTGGCTGTGCTGCTGGCCAGCTGGCTGAACGCGGAGCTGGAGCTGGCGGCAGGGGGCTGGATGAAGACGGTCCCGAACACTGCCGTCTCCGCAGCGGGGCTCGGAGCGGGGCTGGAGACGGCACTGGTGGAGGTGGGAGGACTGGACGTTTCTGTGGCCGCCGGGGTGGTGCTGGGGGCTGTGGTTGTGGTGACAGCAGCCGGTGCCGGCCCTGAAAGGGGGGAGGCGGGAGTCGCCACCTCTGTCTTTATGTCAGGGAGCCCAGGGGCAGCGGGAGTGGCCTCTACGATAGGTGCGGCGAGGCCAGGGGTGGAGGCGGCGGTACCGGGTGTGCTGGCCGCAGGCTGGGCAAGGGTGGTTTCTTTTTTAACGGGGTCAGGAGTCTGCAGAGGTGCCTGGGGGAGTTGGGGCGACTGCTGCTGCCCTGGGAGGGAGGCTGTCGGTGCCACGACTTCACTGTCGCCCGACTTCTCAGGCAAAGCGGACACAGGGGCGGCCTCCTCTGGACTTTTGCCAGAGGACACAGGCTGGGTGGACGGCGATGCTGAACTTAGGAGGCCTCCGAATGACAATGTGGGGAAGGTGCTGGGAAGAGGGGTGGCAGTGGTCGTGGACGGTGGGGCCGAGGGGGGCGCTGTGCTACCCGTCTGCTGGCTTCCGAATGAGAAACTCGTCTTGGTGCCCGTCAGGGATATGCCGCCAAAACTGACGACCCCGGAGGAGCCGGTGCTGGTCAGGGGCAGGCTGCCGAAGACGCCTGTGGGCGCGCTGCTGGCGCTGGTGGCCGGGGCCGGGGCCACAGTGGCAGCGGCACTCATAAAGGAGGTCACGGGGGGCTCCGGGGGCTTCCCTGGCCCCGGAGGGCCAGCGAAGCTGAAGCCCGAGGGCCCGGGCGCGGACTTGGCCGGCTGCATACTGCTCAGGCTGGTGGGTGACGCCTTGCTGCCGGCCTTGGCGATGTCGTCTGCCTGGCTCACTCGCAGTCCTGAGAAACTCCCTAGCGTCTCTCCAGCCGGAGAACTGGGAGACAGAAACTCTCCGAACTTGGACGGCGGGGTCTCCATCTTGTTCATGAAGGCGGAGAGTGTCATTTCAGGGGCCGGCCCCTGCCTGCTGCCCGATGGCGTGGCCTCCCCTGAGGGAGCGGCAGCCAGGCTGGTGGTGTGCGGTGGTGAGGCTCCAGCGGGAGGCGAGCTTTCGGGGATGGTCTCGTAGAGAGGTTTGCCTCCTCCACCAAAGGAAAATGGGGCCTCCGGCTGGCTTGCCTCTTTGCTGGGGGGCGTCACCCCTAGCAAGAAAGAAATTGGGAAACAGGTTGGATTTGGCAAAGCATGGCCTCGTGCTGCCTCAGCTTTCTGAGTGCGAGTGCCCTTCTCCCTCGACAGGCAGGCGAGCCTGCGGTGCAGCGCTCTCCCTGGGGAGGTGTGAGGGCAGCTTCTCCAAGGGAACGGGCTGAGTCATCGCACTCAGGTGAGAAGGAGCATTCTTTTTTACGATCATTAGCTCACGAGTATTTATCCAGAAAATGTGAAATTAACATTATTATCCCAAAGCATAGTAATTCTCCCTGAAGGCCGCCTGTGTGTGCTCTTCTCTGGTGCAGTGCCAGCTGAGGGGACCCCCACCCCGTTCCAGCCCAAACGCAAGTTCTCCCTTTGGTGGTCACGGGCACACAAACACCACTTTTGCATGATTTCGCATGCGGCTCAGGCCCCTTCCTTGCACCCCCCTCAGTCGGTGGCTTTGCGCACTCATGTGGCTTCACAGCCGGGCACTCTGCCGACTGTTGCTGTGACTCTGGAAAAGGGACTGTCTCTCTGGGCCTCAATTTCCCCATTCGGGGAATAGCTAGTCACGCTGTACCTAGGGGGAGACTAAGGCCTGGCCAAGCAACAGGCAGCCAGGGGGCAGGAGCTGCTGCAAGCAGCCTCCATGGACAGCGGCCTGCCGTGGTGCTCGGTGCCGGCCTAGAAATCAAGGACCAAACCTTATCCCTTACAAGTGAGGCGTTCTAGACTCCGGGGCTGCAGCCCTCACTGTGGCTTTGTTACATTCCTTCTTCTGGTTTATTCCACTGAACAGTCTCTTGCCAGTTTCCCAGTATTTCCAGCTGAAAGCCTTTTTTCTTTTATTTGATGGTTACGTGTTTCTGGGCTGTAGATGTACCTGCACCAACCATTCGCTGACTAGAGGCAGGCCATGCCCAGAACAAACCACAAACAGACAACACACCAACTATCCATCCAATATACAGACAACATACTATGTGACAGAAAACCCAAGCAAAACTCGGCAAAAGAAGAAAAACGAAGCCCTACAGCCGCCCACGGCGAGAAGCAAGAACGCCATACACACCGCCAACCCCCACACTCTCGATGGCCCCAAGCTGCCTAAAACAGCGAACCGCAAACTACTCCTCAAGCAAAAAGCCAAAGGAACGGGAAGGCTACTGTCGAGCGCCCAAACCATCACTCAATAACGAAAGGAAAAAAACAAGAAACAGAGCAGAACAAACAACAAAAAGAGCAGGAAACCGAAAGAGCAAGGAAAATAAACAAACAGACAAAAAGTCAAAAGCACAGAAAGAACAAAACCACACACACCCTCAGGCCGGGACAGGGACACAGACGAACGCCCGAAACCCCCAGAAAGCGGCACGACGCACCGGGGCCCAAGGAAAACACGGCGACCAGAGGCAGCACGCAAAAAAAATGCACGAGAAACACAAGAAAAATACACGAAAGACGATCGGCGACACACAAAACATAAAAAAAACAAAAAAACAGTCAGCGAATGGTTGGTGCAGGTACATCTACAGCCCAGAAACACGTAACCATCAAATAAAAGAAAAAAGGCTTTCAGCTGGAAATACTGGGAAACTGGCAAGAGACTGTTCAGTGGAATAAACCAGAAGAAGGAATGTAACAAAGCCACAGTGAGGGCTGCAGCCCCGGAGTCTAGAACGCCTCACTTGTAAGGGATAAAGTGTGGCCCCTTGATTTTTCATCCTACTAACTGATGAAATTTAGAATTACAGATGAAAAGGATGGAGAAAGAAATTCCAACACACAGCCCACGCTCCCCGAGACGCCATCTCCTTGAAGCCAGCCACGACGCCAACAGAGGCCCCGCTGCCAGCAGGTGCCGCGCTCCCGCATCATCACAGTCCACACCCTTACTGCGCTCGCCGGCCACGCAGCGGCATGTGAAACAGCAGCTCGTGAGTGCAGAGGCCCTGTGCCAGGGAGGGGACACGCAGTGAAGCCACGCCGGCGGAGCATACCTGGAGTGGCAGTGAAATCAGAAGTCGGCGCTGGGGTGCTCATTCCCAAGTTAAAGCCAGTCCTGGGGGTGGAAGAAGACACGACAAGCCTGAGGCACGGTGTCACGCTCATCACAACTCCCCCTGACTCACGCACACAGCCAGGCAACACACAGGAAGTCAAACGCCCTCTCTCGGAAGCAGGCAAGCCGCTCGAGGGCTTCCACACAAACCGTGGCTGAGGGAAGAAGTGGGAGCAGCTGGCAAGACCTGGGGTGGGATGAACGGGACCCCCATGTTTCTGGGGTTGGCCTGGAACACCCGGGCTACGCACGTGGGGAAGCAGCAGGGAGGGCTCCCCAGAACCGCTCCCGACCCCTGTAGGCCTGAGGTGACCACGACGGGGGAGGGAGCGGCAAACGCAAGCGGAGCCACAGACCCTGCCTGACGGAGCGCTGCTCCTGGCTAAACAAGTGGCCCACGGACGCCTGGCTCTCACCGTCGCCTCGTCTGCATGCTCCCCTCACACTGGTGACACCATAGGAAATCTGCACGTGCGAGCTGGCACAGCCAGCTCACTGAGACCAAGGCTCAGGAGCAGGTCTAGAACGGCAGCTTTAAAGGGACCAAGTCTACCAAGTAAGGGAAGAAATGCAGGAACCGACACTCTTGCCTGCCACTGCCTTTGTCCAGTGGCCAACGACCATTTAGAGTCCCAAATTCAAAACAGACCCATCTTTGTGTCAACCTTGGAGAAATTTTATCTACTACAAGTTGGTTACTGACTCTATGAACCAAGCCTTTTCAGCTTATTTTTAAACATTGGGCTGAAGGTATCGGTCCACAGAGGTAAAAATGAATTACTCCTATCTGTAAAAGGTGCAAGAGCTCCCAACGCTGAGCTACTCTGTAAAATCTGCTACAAGCTGCCTTTGGGAAGTATAAAGCAGTGAGCTACAGCCGAGGAGAAAGAACACTTCATCCCCCTCTAACTCTAACACCCTCTTCTCCCTCATCGCGTCAGAGGGAAGGACACGGAGAAGCTCCCGACGAGAGTAGCTGATGCAGAGCTGCAAAGCGGGAGCAGCTTTTCCAGGGAGCCGGGCGCACAGCTCTCGGCAGCACCGTGGCCGGACCTCCTCAGTGCTGCTGGGAGCCGGCTCCGGCCGCCACCGAGCTCCCAGCGCGCGCCTGAAGCAGAGCAGAGGCTGGTGCCCGCGAGACTGCTCGGCAGACCCCGCAGCCGGGTGGGAGGACGTGCCCACTTCGTGGATGACTCACGACAAGGACAGCCACCACTACGTTCTAAGAAATGAGGTGGCAACAGGTCTCCCACATCTATGACCTCGAGCGGTCACACGGCTGCTGTCTTTCGCTCCCTCTTCTCAGGTGTTTAGTGTTTTGGCCTGTGAGCGGAGCAGAGCCAACCCAAACATCACATCTCGTCCCCAGACGTCACATCTGGGCTGAAAAGGCCACGATGTGAGAATCGGGAGGGGCCCCGGAATGTCACACTCCCACTTCCCAAGGAAAATGAGGGTTGTGCTGAAGCACTAACAGCCGGCACCGACAGGAAGAGACTGAACGACGGGGCCACGGCTGCCGGGCGTCAGGGGCCACGGTCAGGTCAGGCCATTGGCCACACAGACAGACCCGCTGCCATGAGCTGGGAGCCGGCGAAGAGGCTGCTGGTGATTGCCCGCACACTGACATTCATTACTGACCCTGACGGAGAGAAGGAGAAAGTCTTGCTGAACTGCCCGACAGCCGGCGAGGCAGAAGTCACCGCCGCTTCAATCTTGGCTGTGCCCACTCCTGCGATCATGCAAGAGAATAAGAACATTAGCAAACAGAGGTGCTTCCGTTTGTGGTTCTCCGCGGCACCGACTAGACAGCGGCCAAGAGACGGCCCGAGCCTCCCAGCATCCCCCGGGTCTGGGTCAGGGCCAACTCCAAACCAAGGCCTTTTCTTTCCAGAAAAGACAGCCAAGTAACTGCAGTGCAGTTGAACCTAAAGCTTGAAAAGCACATTTATAATTCTTGAGAAGTGATATACCACAGAAAGCCCGAGAAGCAGGTTCTTACCCTAGATACCTGACTAGTGACCCCGTGGCTGGCTACTTGCTTTCCCCGACATCTCTGTACTAGCCATGTGTGGACTGTTCATATTTAACAAATAATAGCTTCCTTTGAAATTACAGGGGTAATACAGGATTGCTGTGTACAGAGAAGCACAGAAAGCCAGCAGTAATCCATCACTGCCCCATGCTCAGTTTCATTGTAGCTAGTTACTAACAGATTGGGCTACTGTATTCACTCTCTCTCCTCCTGTTTTACCTTTAAAAGAAAGCAGAATGGGAAAATTACAGCCCTATCAGGCCTGGAAAGATCAACCAGATTTCATTTACTCTGAGGATGGAGGTGGGAGGAGAAGGGAAACAGTTACAAGCCAGTGTATACAGGATATGCCTATTTCTGCTCAAAAACAATGACGTAACCGGGGTTAAAGGCACCCCTCTCTGGGATATGGAATCCATAGGATAGCTCTTCTTTGCTTATTATTATAGATCCCTAGGCAACACACTTTTTGGGGAAGTTGCAATAATTTCATAACTAGGAGAACAAAAAAAGCCCTCTGTACCATTAATTAATAAGGAAGCTATTTCAGAGGGAGAGGTTTAAGAAATGCCTTTTTAAAAGCCCCTGTCTCCCAGAGACCCCTGGCAGTGAACGAGAATATTTCAGACACCACAAGGACAAACCTCAAAAGCTTCTTTGCGAGTCATCCTAACTGTGTAGGACACACAAAAAGCCAAGTTCTGTAGAGTTCTGTGGCTCTTAACTTCAGGAGCAGCAAAAAGCTCTCCAATGAAGTCCTTAAAAGAACTCAAGATATGTGATTTTTTCAAAACACTGCCTGAAATACTAGCAAGAAACAAAGAAACAAATTCGTCACTTGCATCCTAAATAAGTCAAAGTTTTGACAACGCCACCAACGGTCTCCTTCTAACATACAGCGTCAGTTCCCAGCCGAGACGCCTCCGCCTCCTTGGCCGCGGGCAGGAGGCCACGCGGCTCCACATCACTCCCAGCCCAGGCCTCTGGCTACACAGATGAAGGACCCGAAGCGAGGGATGGTTTCCTGGGAAAATGATGCCGTGTCCATGTGCAGTTTCTGATCTCGGGAGAGTCAGGGTGACGTGAGGTGTGGAAAGCAGGTGGTACGCTTGTGAAACTGCAGGCGACCTCCCGACAGCAGGTCATGCTGACGCTGGGCAGGCTGCGGCGCACAGCCTGGAGTGGCAGGCACGGGCAGCGGGCCTCGGCAGAAAGCGCACGCGCCCAGAGTGGACACATGGGTGCTGAGGGGGCGCCCCGTCCAGGCCTGGTGCTAAATAAGCACATCATGCCCTAAGGAGGCGTGGGTAGTGTGGGCGCCTGGTAAAAGCACCGTGGAAGCGATACCGAGAAGAAATGCACTTTTGTGAGTGCTGGGGAGTAGGTGAGGCGAGAAAATCTCTTCAGATTGATGTTATAATTATGCTGAGGTCTTTTCACAGATCCCTTTTATTTTGTGTATTTTACCAGCTTTTAAATTGTCATTGTGAACCGACAGAATTTCCTTCCATTTAGCAGGAGAGAGCCCAGTGTTCTCCTCCCTCAGCTTGGCTCAGCCGGAGCAGGGACGACGCTACGGCACTCCTTCAGGGGGAGCCTCTCCCACGCCCAGTGGTCTGCAGGCTGGGCGCGCCTCGCTCCTCTCCTGGAGGCCCTTCGCTCACTGCGGCCTTTCCAACATGGCCCACCTGACATTCTGCCAGCTCCTCTGTGACCACAGTGACCCCTGCTGTGGGCATCACTTTCACCAAAATAAAGGGCACACTGACCTGAAGCTTTATCACCAGATGACAACTGACCGGAAGCTGTGGGAGGCCCAGGTGGCTTCAGGGAATTTAAGAGCGATCCCTGTAAGAACACAAGCAAAACATTTACGTGAAGCCACTAGAAACCCGCTGGAATAAAGAACATGTGAGCTGGTAACATGATGCACAAAATAATCAGTCCTATGTTCATCAGAAATACTTGGGTCTTAGTCAGTGGAGGCGAAACGGGCCACTGTGCAAGTGCCAAGGCCCCAGAGCGTGGCTGCTGGCATGGCCCTTTCCTCGGGGCCTGCACAGGGCTGGCACCGCAGAGGCATGGGGACGCCCAGGAACAAGTGGGCAAGGGCAGGATGGAAATGGATTCCTGCACGCGGCAGTTACAGTCCACTTGAAGGGCAAACTGCTGGCCTCATCCGCCGCCATGAACGTCCTGGGCTCCTGCTTCCGGGACTCGCACGTCATCATGGTCCTTAAGCCGAAGCCCCAGCCAAGCGCCACTGCAGGTCATGGCGAACCAAGGGGCAGAGAATCACGTGAGAGAGCTCACTCCCTGCAGGCAAGTTCTCGCATCGATCCTAGACCACTGAGAAGACACCTGGCGGCTGAGAGCGCTTCGGCTGCCTTCCTCTCAGCTACTTCCGGATTGTTTGCCAGCTTATGATAAAGCCCCCGTCTGTCAGAGCCAGTGTTTATCGGCAAGGCCTTAAAGCAGACATAACAAACAGGAGTGGGTGTGCAGACTCGACAACAGGAGAAAGCGGCACCCCCACGCGGGCCGGGGCCGAGCCCCGCACCCCACCGGCCGCACCGCTCACACCCGTAGGCGTGCATGGCAGTCACCTGAGCCTCAGATCCCTCATTTGTGAGACACATCTAAATCCTGCCCTGCCTGTTGCTAATGTTGTTCACGGGCTGTCAGAGACAGACCCAAACACCTCCCACAGACCGAAGGTAGACTGTGACCCACGGCGGCTAGACGGAGGCAGTGCTGGGAGCTACCATCCGACTCCGGGAAAACGGGCACAGGTTTTAGACTCTAGACTGTCCATTTAAATAAAGTCAGGACTTAAAACAGTACTGTGCTCACAGTTAAAACGACACTGACAAAGCCAAAGTCAGCAAGCGAGCTACCTGCTTAGGCTGGGTGGCGGCCACCGCGGTCAGCCCCGGGTGAGTCGTCTTGGCTGCAGAGAAGGGCGCCGAGGACCTGCAAACACACGAACACGCTCTCAAGGCGCGGCCTGGTGCACGGCACATCCACCCTGAAGACAGCTCTGTCTGGCAGGTGTTGGCAGTCTGCACTGACTGGAACATTGACACCCAGGGCCCTAGCCAGAGGCATTTGATCTTTTTCTGATTAATAAAATTTCTAAATGAGATTTGGTCTTCAGCATGAAAGGCAAAGCCATGACTCGTTTAAAATTTCGCAGTCCTCTGGGGTGCTCCTGGTGGCGCAGTGGCACTGAGAAGCTGAAGCTACTGCAGCACGAGTTCGATCCCCTCCCCAGAGGTAAATCACGTGGCGCAGCAGACCTCTCCTGACCCGCCTGCTGCTCCCCTCAGCAGTGGGCTTTGTCAGTCGGCCTATTTTGCTCCCCACTCTGTCTCTGGTGAATTCTCTCACCACCTCTGCACCTCTGGCCTGTACCCCAGTTCTGTATGCATAAAGAAATCTTAAAAAAAAAAAATAGCCACAGTCCCAGACCAGTTAGAGCCTGGTTCTCCTCCTACGTGGGAGGAGAGGTGCCACAGGACCTACGGGACACGTCAGCTCTGCCGCCACACAGGCGGGGAGGTCTGGTGGTATTTTTCAGAACCCTCCCTGTCTCCTCTCCCCTTCCCTACACCGACTTAGGGAGGACGAGCAGTTTTTTATCAAAAAATTAACTGAAAGTTAGACAAAAATAAGCCCATGTTCCACAGAAGAAAATCGTCCAACAATGTAATAATCTTACATACACCTCAAGGTTCTCTGCTGGAAAGAAACCTCCCCAAATAGACTTTTCAGACTGTGAGAGGGAGGAGAAAAAGTGGAGTTATTTTTAACAAAACAAAACCCCCCTCTCGTTTTCCTTCTGAAGGCAAAACTCAAACGCGCATCTCTGAAGACCCAAGAGCCCATGCCCTGGAGACGCTGTGCCGCAGGTACACAGGTTCAGCACCTCCCTGCCTGCTTGGTCTCCAGCTGAGAAGAGGAATGTGTGAGTGAGATCCCTGGGCAGGCACAGGAGCCTCAGGGAGAGAGAGGCTTTGAGCTGTGGAGAGTCGCAAGGGAAATGAAAATGTTCTGCTTTCTCAAAGACAAACAAAAATGAAGCTAAAAATAAAGGCAGCAATTTGTCCAATTTTATAACACCTTTTGCACTCCACATTTAGTTAGGACCTGACTATAAATTAAATCGAGCACGAAGCAGACGGATCACACGATTGTTCTATTTACCTGTGGTGACGTGGCAAGGTCTCAGGTGCCCTAAATCCCCAAACACACAACACCGGGAGGCGTGGCACCTGCACGCCAGCCACGTGGCCACTTGCAGATGCTCGCAGTGCACCCTGGGTAACATGTCTACTGACTAAGCGGGCCCGGCCACGACCCAAGAGTGCAAACAAGAACGAAAAGTGTGCTACCACAGAAACATGTTCAAAGATGCGGCCATGACCGTGAACCAAAAGGGGAAATCAGCCGCTAGCCAGAGTCGAGAGAAGAGGGGGCTGCAGCGGCAGTTACTGCGTCTGGGTCACTGCAGGCCCCGCTCCAGGAGCATCACGTGGCAGACCTGTGCTACGGCTGGGGGCAGGCACGAGAGGAGTGCGAGCCGAGCGCGGTGCTGGGCAGCCCCAGGGGCCCATGTTCCCACTGCGGCCACTTGGCACCGTGTGACCGGGAGATCCCGGGACTACGCTCTGCTTCAGGCATGAGGGACAAAGTGATAAGGGTCACGAAGGGTGGAAAAACTAGGTGGAAAAACAATTCTAAGAGAACCTAAGTTCTCTGATTCTCTGTGAGCCAGACGACACTGAGATAAGACAATCAACTATTGCGTGAAAACATGAAACATGATCAACATGACAAGGTCACGATGAGCCTGCTGCACACACGCCCCAGCAGAGAAGCGCTACCGCCCGCCTCTGCCGCCCCTGCAGCCACAGGACTCACATCACACGCACCAGCCCCAGCACAAGCCGTTAAGACAGTGAAGAGGTCAAAGGTCAGTTTAGCCTCTCCTTCGTGGGCCATTAAACCTGAGTGAACAAGCCAAGTAGCCATACTGCAGACTTCAAGCTACCTGTTCTCTTCCCCATCTCAACCTTTTAAAGAGCTTAAAAAACAACAAGGGATTTGATTGTGCTTTATTTTGGTAAGCATCTTATTCATTCATGCAGAATAAACGCAAACTGAAAGCTACCAAAGTCAACTATTCATAAGGCATTTTGGGGTAACAACTGAGAGCGGAGGTGTGGACAGGGAAAAGGCAGCTTGTCACGAGCACCTCAGGGCAAGGCAACGAGGAAGGACAGGAAGCTCGAGGGTGCGAGCCCTACGCAACCCGTCCGTTCCAGTTTGTCCGTCCGTCCTGGAGGCTGCAACTGCCCAGAGTCGTCCTGACAGGTAAACTGTGCACCTCACGGCCAAGTGCTGCCCAGGGGGTCACCCCAACACCTGCCAAGTCCAACGGCCATTCCCACATGACCTCTAGGGCCAAAAGGCTCCAGTTAGGTGCTCAACCTGCCTTAGGGCCCGGGGAAGGCCTGTGTCGAGGTGAAAACAGAACTTTGCTTTTTACTGTCACAGACAGATGTCAGCAACTAAGGCTCGTGACTAGGTGAAGAAAGGCAGCTACAGAACAGCATGTATTGAAATTTTATTTTAAACATGAATTTTCACAGAATAAAGATGAATAAACATGTAAATGATAACTAAGCATCTGTGATGGGGAAAAAGGCGACTTATTTTGTCCTTTTGAACTGCTTTTTTTTCTCACAGAGTCTACAGTGAACATTTGTAACCAGAAAAAAAGGGAGGTGGACATTTGTAACTCCAGTTATTTTTTTACAATCTCTGTCAGTGAAAACTGTCAACTTAGAATCCTTTACTCAGGAAAAATATCTTCCAAACACAAGGTGAAATAAAGACTTGACAGGCACACAAAGCTGACAGAATTCATATCTACAATTCAAGAAACGGTAAAGGAGGTCCTTCAGGCAGAAAGCAAAGCTCGCCAGATGGGACTGAATGAAGAAACGTGCTAATTAGCAGTTTGTGACAACACATCACAGCGCTTCCAATGCAAGCAGAAGAGCAGTGTGCCATGGAGGGAAGAGACAGTCTCGGTCACAGGTTCCCGCTCTGCAACCCTAGATCACATAACTCGGCCACAGCTAATTAATTGACAAAACAGAATCATAAAAAAGAACCCAATAAAGGTAGAAAGAGGAAAGATGGAACAGAAGAAGAGAGGAAAATCAGAAATACGGTAGACTAAAGCCCCAGCATTAAAAATCACATTAAATTAGCACTCCAATTAAAGCAAGGCCTTGTCAGCGTGGATACAGAAACAAAGATCCAACTAGCTACTGTCCACACAGTCTATTTTAAATATAGAAACACAAAGTAAGGACAAAGTAAGAGCCGGGAACTCCAGATAGCTCTGGCACTAACAGCTCCAGCGGCTACGCTGATGCGCGGGACGGAGGTGTCAGAGCACTGCAGCTCCCCGGGGACGGGGCCACCGCTGTAATTTCGAGAAAAGGACACCCTAAACATTTACGCGACTGTGACAGAGTATGAAAACACATGAAGCAGAAACTAACGGGACAAGGAAAATAGACAAATTCACAACTCTAGCTGAAGCACCATCGCGCTTCTCGATCACCGGGAGAAGCAGCAGAGACAGCCTCGGGCGCCCCCAGATGCGGGTCGGGGAACCAGAGCGCCGCCGTGGTCAGAACAGAGGCTCGGGCCAGCACCAGCCCAGCTCCGGCGCGCGAGGACATAAGGAAAGCAGCCACGGAAGACCTTCCAGACCCTGACTACAAGGGCAGGCGCAGTCCTGACGCCAGGCAGCAGCTCTTGCCTGAAGAGCAAGGACAGAATACCAGGACCGGCCCTCCCTTGCACTGTATCTGGAGGAGGTTTTTCGAGAAAGAGTGAATGGGCACAAAACAATCACACAGTGGAAATCTGTGGGTGCAGCTGCCCTCAGAGTATCTTTATGAAGTTGGTGAAACCTGGAATGCACACTCAGGCCTATGTAGGCTGCATATATACCACATTATATATCTACTGCAATTGCTGGGGGAGGAACAAGACTACCGGCACCTTCGCACCTTGCATGGGCGCTAACCGACAGGAGCAGAATACGGAGACGAGTTCTGACACGCACAAGGAACAGTGCCAGGCTGGTGAGAATCCAGCCAGGGCTGCCAGTATCAGACCCGGCCCCCTGCTTGCTCCTGGAAGCAGCTGCATGCTGACCAGATCATGCCTGGCACCTACCCACTGTCCATGGCTGCATTCAGCCACAGTGGCAGAGGTCAAAGACAGATGGCCCACAAGCCTAAGGTGTTTACTATTGGCCTTTCAAGAAAAACCTTGCCGATCCCTTCCCATAAAAGCCTCAATAAATCTAAAGAATTCAAGTTGTACAAAGCACTTTTCCAACCTCAATGGGCTGAAATTAAAAATCAGTAACAAGATAGTATCTAAAAAATGTCTAATTATTTTGAAATAACACACTTTTAAATAACCCATAGGTAGATAATGAAACCAAAAAATAAACCACTTTGAACTGAATTAAAATGCGATTCAGTTAAAACCTGTATGATGTAGTCAAAGCATTTCCTAGGGAAATGTGTAATACCAGATGCCTCTACTGGAAAAGACTGCAAATCAACAATATCAGCTTCCACCTGAAGGTAGAAAGAGTAAATAAAACCCAAAGCAAACAGGAAAGTGAACTAAAGAGCAGGTGGGAAAAGAACAGAAAAAGTAATCCACGAGATAAAAAGCCGATTCTCTGAGAATGAAACTCTAGCCAGACTGAAGACAAAAGTCCCCACGGCCCAGCGAGACTCAGTGGAAGCCGTCCACCCTGAGGCGGCGTGCACTCGCGTGGAGACGCCCTCCGGGACGGGGAGCCCTTGAGCACGACACAGCTGACCAGAGGCCGCCAAGCCACCCGCCTGCCCGCCCACCCGCGCACCATGGACATCAAAGCAGCAATAGGAACCCGCCGGTGCGGGTCCTCACAGGGCTCCAGCCAAGCCCATTCTCGAATGAGAACGGCTGCGCCCAGCTACACACCGGCTATTTATGTGTTTCTCAAAGATCTCAGGGCTTTATGCACACACACAGTGGGTTTCACCGCATATAGGTTATGCCTCAATCTAAAAAATTGCTCCGGTTCAAAAGAACAAGTGAATCAGCATACTAGGTGACTGACCTGCTCGGGAATGCTGGTGGCCGGGCACCGGGGCCAGAATTCACACTGTCACGCGCACCCCACCCTGGGCTGCTCCCGGGCCGCTCCCGAGGCCTCTGCCGCTCCAGCTCCCAGGGCGGCCTGGCCCGATCTTAAACCGGCTTGACACACGCCACCAAAGGTCCACTCTGGCGCTTTCTTCCTCAGGATACAGGCAAGCTGCGTTCTGACCTTTCTGGCCGTTCATGTCAAGTGTCAAAAGTCGCTGAGAAGCAGGCCATTAACGGGGTCAGGAAAACCCAGTTTAACGCTGAAACGGGCTGGTGTTTCTGAACGGCTGTAGCCACAACTGTGTTGGAGGTGCCCCCTGACTGGCATATTTAAAATTCAAACCTGACCACGGTCCCTCCGCCACCGCCTCAGATGTTCTCCGCGCCATCGCTGCCCATCGCTACTCCACCGCTCACTTCACTGTCTCTGCATGGCCCGAAAGCAGATCCTCTGGTTTGCCTGGCGAAGGGCTGTGGCCCGCGCAAGCGCAGCGATGCTGCCGGTTCGTGCAGCCACATGGCGACCGTCACGCTGGTGAGGGACGGGTGTGGCCACGGAGGCCAGTCCGGAGGCCACCCACCAGCTCTGTTAGGCCTGCCTCTGAAGGGCAGGTGGCCGGTGCCCACGGCACGGACCTGAGCGCCTCAGCCTGTCACCAGGACCAGTCGGGCAAGGCGCTACGTCGCAGGGCTCTGCCTGCGGCCCTCGGTGGGGCCGGGGGAGCTGGTGGGCTGATTCATGCTGCTGCCCACGGTGCAGACGGGACACACTGAGTCGGGCTCATCCCTGAAGTATGCCTGCAGGGCGCTGTCCACGATCCCTGAAGAGCAGGCGGGCCCCGGAGAACCAGCACGCTCTTCAAGTGGCGCCTGAGACAGAGCCGTGACACTGACGCAAGGCCCCGGAGCAGATGACACGGCAGAACTTCTTGAAGGGCTTCTCAAGAAAGAAGCTGGATGGACACCATTCCCACCCCACCACAGGGACACTCATGAAGGCACCTTCTAAAGGACGCCACAGAGCCTGCAGGGCGCTCATGGAATGCGACGCTGGTAAGTTAAAATTTAATGCAATGGCCCTGTCTGCGGCAGCTGTTGTTAATGGACACACCAAGCACTGTTTTACTGGCAACAAGAATTAAATTTCTGCTGCCATGTACAAAAAAAGAAAATGCTCCCCAGGCCATGGCCGGAAGAATGCGTGAAGAGTGCACACCGTGTGTGGGCACCCTGCCTCGCCCCAGCACGAGGTTTGTGAACAAAGCAACTGGAAATCCCACCTCATTTGGACATCAAGCTCGTGCCAACGCTCACCCCCACCCCCACGCCCCGCCACTGACCAGGTCTCAGCCACAGCGGCCTCCCCGCCAATTCACCGCAAACATGCTCTGCCCTTGCCCAGGCCTGGGCTGCCACACACCTGCACCCTCAGGCCCAGCCTCTAGCTGGCCATTTCTAGTCATCAGTCAACCCTCAGCTGAAACCCCTTTTCCTTACCCACCCCCCTCCACCCCAGACGCGACCAGACCACCTCACTGTGTGCTTCCTCCATGATTTCTTCACGGAGCTTAAGTGCAATGTAACTGGGCAGCTGCTCGCACCCCCAGGGTTTGGTGGCTGTCCCCAACCGTGTGATGGGAACGGGGGCCAGACCGCCGCACTCATCAATGTACCCCTAATACCCGGGGCCCGAGGGCACCTCTGAGGGGCACGGAGGCCGAGGGAAGCCCCGCGGCAGGGCCCGCTCCTGGCAAACCCTCCTCGGAACAGGACGCCTCACTGATGTGGCGGGTGGGACCACCCTTCCGAAGACACCAAAGCCGCCATCTGGAAGCTCACACCGCGGCAGGTCTGCTGGTGCTGCCCAGAAACGGAACTGCAGAACGGAATATACGCAGGAAGCTACTCTGACAGGATCTGAGGGCAGCTCGTTTCGGAAGCACATACACCCCTCTCAGTTTTGCTTAGAGTCTCCCTACTGCGCCATAAACGATTAGAAAGTAATGATGCCCCAGGCACCATGCTGGGCAAGCCAGTTACGGAACTAGACAGTCCAATTCTGTGGGGAGAGGAAGAAAGTTTTGTCAACATTCCTAACTTTTATGTTCATCTCCCTCAAGCCGGGACAAAGGCAGGCTCAGACTTGCCCCTGACCAGGCGGTCAGAGACCAGCGCAGAGGGGCCACCCCTAAGGGATGCTCGTGCTCAGCGCTAACTCCTCGAGCAGCACAGGACACCAGTCCATCTCTCCCCAGTAACCCCGGCTTCCTGTCTGAGGCGACGTCCCGCCCTTCTCTGCCTGCCTTACGACAGGAATCTCTAAAACCGCAGCTTTTCCTTGGAGACACTCACAACCATCACCCATGCCACCCTGGTCTGAAGAGCACAGCAAAGCTTCAAGGTCACCACGAGAGGCAAGTGGGTAGAGCCTCTGGCTCCGGGCCCCGCCACTACTAAAACATCCCTGGGAAGGGCAGCGCTGGTAAGTGGGTTAGTGCAGAGGAGAGGCCGGCAGAGTGCTGAGGAGGGCCGCTGGGGAGCTGAAGGAAGCGGGCCTGTGCTGCACGGACGGATCCGGCGCCCCAGACGCTAGCGCCTGAACAGCACCAGCCCCCACCCTGTGCCAGCAGGAGGGAGGCCGCGCCTGACTAGCGCGAGCTGGCGCAGGCATGGGTATGGAGCGCGGCAGGGCGGGAGGGCCCGCCTCGAGTGCTACACACAGATCCAGCCCAAAGGGAAGGGGCTCTGGCAGCAGTGACCCGGCCCGCAACCTGACGAGGGGGAGAAGCCCGAGTCTCCAATAGCGCCGCTGCCTTTTTCACACAAAGGCAAGACCTGCAAGAAGAGCAACGCCTGGAGAGAGGAGGTGAGGCTGGCAAGCTTGCGAGCACCGCCGGGCTGTCCAAATCAGCAGTCTGCGTGAGAACAAGCCGTCCGCTCTCCAACCCCGAGACCAAAGCCCGCGGCCTGGCCTAGGGCCCTCGTGTCGGCCGCAGAGTCCGGGGAGCGAGCGCAGGGCAGGCCGCCCGGACAGGCTCGGCGCCACTGAGGAAGGAGCTGCTACTGGAAGCCGAGGACGACGACCTCCTGGGGCCCTGTGAGCTCCCCGAACCAGCCCCCACTGCTCTGGGAATCCCACGGTGGCGCCACGGGAGCGGCTCCAGGACTGCAGCCCCGCTGCTCCGGACGGTGCAGGCCCCCTCGCGGAGGAGCTACGTACCCCGCGGCTGCAGAGGGGGTGGCCGGGGCGTTCTTCCAGTCCTGCACGTTTACTACTTGAGGGACATTCTTCAGCGTTGACTCCGTCAAAGTACTCACAGCTATTTAAAAAGGGAAGAGACACACACATCATTTGCAGGAAGGATCCAGAACCCAGACACAGACAAGTGATTATTGGGGACACATACTCCAGCAGAACGCAGCCTTCCCGAACGGCACCCCAGTGAGCTGCAGCGCTGTGCTCCCCGGGACACCCGGCCTCCCGCACTACAGAGGCGCGGGGTGAAGCGCTGTGCAGTTTAGTAGGGTGCCGAGGTACCTGCCCCCGCTGTGCGCATCCCGAGGAAAAGGCGGAAATGGCAGGAGGAGGAGCAGAGCGCGGGCTCAGGAGCGGCCCCCGCCATCGGCCTGTCATGCTGGGTAAGGGCTGGGAATTGAGAACCCCAGAGCAGTCTAAAACACAATCTCCTCTCTAAAGGAGACACCGCTGAGCGACAGGCACAATGAGAACGGTGCTTGGGCGAGAGCGGGGAGAGGCCGAGAGGGCAGGGAGGGAGTGGCGACAGGAGCACCCTTCTTCACCTGCCCCCTCAGGTGAGTCTGCGTTCACAGCTCTTCCTGGCGTTTTGGGACTCCCTGTGACCCAGAAGGCCAGCCGACACTGACAACGAGCCGTGAAGGCCTGGGCCAAGCGCGGGCCTCCTGTCTCTCGCAGACTGCGGCCCTGGCACAGGGCGGGCTGGGGAAGCTGCTTTCTTGCCCCCGTCAAGGTGGCCTCTGGGGATGCTTAGCTACGACTGCCCATATCTGATCGTCCTCAGGTGCACGTACCTTAGTATTTTTGCTTCCAAAATGAGAAAGGAAGTCACACCACCTCCTGCTGAAAGTGGACTAGTCCTAAGTGCTGGCAGATTTTAAGTTTATAAATAATGGAGTCTCTCAGCTTGGTTTCAGGCCTATTCAGGATAATGCCAAGATTCTGCTTGGTCCACATAATAGTTAAAGAAAACATCACAGAATTCTTTTCTTTCCCCAGAATGTTCAAAGGTACCGTAAAAAGCTACCTTGTTTATACTGGTTTGTAGCTATTTCAGATGCTTTACAAAGAGTTCCAGTATTAGAATTTTTCTTGGAAACCTTTTATTGCTGAATGACAGTAATTTTTTTTGTCTACATCAGACCACCAAGCCTTTTCAATCTTTGAAAAAGAAACCTCTACGCTGATACATGTTCTAAGCAGCGATGAAATTAGAAAATAACTGTATTCAGCCCAAACAAGAACATCTCACTCACAGCAGTTTCTCAGCCGGGCACGGTCGCCACTCTGCAGGCAGGTAATGCCTGTGGTGGTGTTCTCTGCCAGGGCAGGTGTCCGCAGCACCCCTGGGCTCGATGGCAAATGGCATAACAAGGACAAACACTGTGGCGGGCCAAACTAGCCTTCGGCTGAGAACCACTTGCTTGCACAAATTATAAGTGAAGTACCGGAGGCCAACTACCTACAAGTCTTTATATGGAAAATTGTGGACAGCCACACACACCTGACTAGGCATACACACCACGCGCCAAGGCTTAACTGCGGCATGAGGCGCTGTGCTGCCGGGGCCGGGCTGGGCCTGGCTCGCGCCACCCTGCAACAGGCAAACGGCACCGCTCTGGGCCTGAAGCTACTAGAAAGCAATCATGCACATTCAGATAGCCCTTCTGGGGTGGCTGTGCCCCCCAAATGACATCAAGACAATTTACAGTAGTGGGGCTTTAACTGCAAAGGTACATTCAAGGCTTGCTTTGTTTTCCGAAACGCCCTATTTGACTGACAGCAGCAAACCATTCTGCACGCCTCTTGGAGTGTGCTGCGAATGTGCATCGTAAGAAGTTAAAAATGAAGAATGTATTTAAAGAAACACACCAACAGGTAGGGATTAACAGCTTCATCAAAAACCACTGACTTTCCCCTTCACTGAATGTGGCAGAGCTCAGGCTTCTCTTAACGAACAGGGTACCATGGCCCCCTCAGCCGGCCTGGCATCCCCCCAAGACGGAGTCGGGCTGCACACCAGTCTTCTCTTGGAAGGCAGCAAAGAGCCAGCTGTCTCCTGGCAGCCTGCCGTGGGGCCAGGCTCAGCGGGCGGCAGTCTGCGCAGGTGTGCGGCCACAGCTCTTACCTGGCACCTGGCTGGCCTTCTGCCGTCTCAGTGCTGCTGCACCGGCTGCCTGGGGAGCCGAGATGGGGTGGGACGGACCAGGGGCGCCATGTTTCACAGTTTTTGTTGCAAGCATTGTGCTATCAGCCCCCTGAGGAATGATTTTGCTAGTAGATGTAGACACTAAGAGAAAGAGAAAGATCAAGTGAGAGAGTGGGCCAGAGACGAGCTAAAAGGCACTCACATCAGGTAACAGAGAATGCTAACACCAGATACCCGCGTCAGCACAGGCCCAGCATGCAACAGGCTGGCTCCGAGCAACGTGCCTGCCGCCTCTATGGCTGAAACACTTCGCCCAGTTGCTTCCTGACCCTGAGATGAGACTGTAACCAGGCCTGAAGCCAGAGGCTGTTACAGGTGGTGCCCCCGCAGGGGAAAGGTGAGGAGGAGCCGCCCAGAAGTAGGTTCAGACTGAGACTCCCAGAGGAAACACAGAAGGCCGCGGGAGCAGCCCCTCAGCCATCCCGGGCTCCCCTCCCGCCCCCACCCCCACCTTCCAGAAGGCGAAGGGCGCGGAGCCCCCAGCAGCCAGCCTCGGGACAGCAGCTGAGAGGCTTCACAGGGGGCCCGGCGACGGGAACTGTGCCCAGCTCTGCTCTGCACCAGCCGGGAGGGGCGGCTCGGCCTGGGCAAGGCGGCCCCGGCGGGCATCTCCCGTGGCGTCTCCTGCCGCCATCGGGCTGGACCCCGGCCTGCTGTCCGTGGCCACGGGCGGGCTCCGGGCCCACGTGGCGGGAGGCGCCATCCTGACCCTCCGCTCAGAAGGCTCCAGCTCTTCAGGGGAGGAAGGTGCCACTCCGCAGCGTGGCCCTGGGCTGGGACACTTGCCCCAGGTCTTCCTTGGGGGAGGACGCCGCGCCAGACCCCTTCTGTTTGGGGCTTGGAGACCCAGGACTCTACTTGGGGCGAGATGACCGGCCACTGTGGCCTCAGGGACTCGTTTTCCCTTGTTTGTCAGGAACCCCTGCACTGCTGTTCCCGGAGCCTGACGGGTCTTGCAACTCTGCACACAGATGAAAAACTGACAGCGACCCGTGAACGACATGGGCACTGAGCTTGGCCAGTGGGTGCCCCTGACTGCTGGTATCAATGTGACTTTCATGCCAACATCTGCCAGCTGCCTGCTCTTCCTTCCTCTGCCCTCCCCACACCAGGGCCGACACACAGTGTGAGTGCCTGTGGGGGCCCTGACGCCCTGGACCGCAGGCGTCAGCACACAGGTCCCGGCAGCAAGCCCAGAGCTGCAAGCTGGGCGGCAGCAGGTGAGCCTCCAACAGAATGTGGCTACATGGCGGGGCTGAGAACTGAGGTCTGAAGTGCACGAGTGAATGCTGCCTTTCCTTGCGCTGCTGAGAAGAGCAATCAGACCAACAGAAGCTGGTCCAGGGCGACAGTGTGGGCCCTGCAGTCTCCCCCCGCCCGCAACATCCCACCAGCCGCTTTCCCGGGAACACCCCTGTTTTGAATCAGTCTCCTGGCTTCTGGAATACTAGCAGGAAAGTTCTAGATCCAACGACTGACTGGTGTGACAGCCCAAGACCCAGTCACTGCCCCTTCATTACTTAGAAACCTAGCAGGTGAAACGGTGACTCTGCACCTCGGTGCTCACTTACTCGATGTTCCCATCACACCGGGCGAGCCGGGAGCCAGGTGGGGCTTGGTGAAGGGCGTCATCTGGGTCACGGGGCCGGGCTGGACGGAAGGCGTGCGCACCACGGGGGCGTGGCGGGGGGCCTGGCTCACGGCGGCGGCGTCCTTACAGGCTGGCCGTGCATCTTCACTCTCCAGAGACTGGGAGATGGAGGAGGTCGAGCTCACTTCATCCAGGTCTTCGCAGCATCTCTGAGACAGGAAGGCGGACCGGGACAGGCTGGCTACAAAGCCCACAGAGAGACAATTAGCCGCCGCGAGGCAGCCGAGAGTGAGCTGCCACAGCTGGTGGAGGAACGCCGCTGAGAAGCGCCGCGGCTATCACCTGAAGGGCCGCTGCCGCCAGCAGCCGGCGCCGTCGGCCGGGCCGGGTCTCCGCTGCGCGGGGCTCGGGCAGCCGGGCCGGCGGCAGGGCACATGCTGACTGTCGAACCGAGCGTGTGAAGTGAGAGGCGAAACAAAGCACTGGCGGGAGGGGCGGGAGACGGCGGGCGGGGCGGCACGGCAGGGGAGGAACGGGCTCCCGAGCCGGTGTGGTCACCCCGCTGCCCGCGCTCCTGGCGCTGAGGCGCCGAGCACAGGACGCAGCCGGGAAGAGCCGCCGTGTGGCTCCTCACTCGATCCCGGGGGCGCAGACACGTCCAGGCCAACTAACACATTCAGTGACCTGCCAGTTCACTCCCCGCCTCAGACCGCAGGCGAGCAAAGCTTTGCCCACGTGCCTCCGACCCGAGCTCCAGCAGGCACGTGACTGCGAGCGCGCTGGAGCGGCAGAGGCCGCGGCCTCCCGCCTCGGGCCCCCGTAACGCTGCCAGTCATCACGCGCCGGCTGAGCTATGGCTGCGGGATTTTACTCCTCATGATGTAAGTGCAACGTACACAACTGTGACCGAGCCAGTGGGACGTGCTGGGCTCCTCGGCTGGGCAGCCTGGAGCCACGTGCAGTTATCAAACAGGAATAACTTAAAGACAGGACATGCCAACATGAGCTCTTCAGTGGTGCCAGTCACATTTCAAATGCTCAGTGGCCACGGGTGACCCGTATCAGTCAGCCCACAGCCACCTCCACGACCGCAGAAGCTCTACTGAACTGCACTGTGCCAGGGCATTCTGATGCAGTTAGGGTGCAGGTGGCCACTGGGTGACCCACCTGTGGGCACAGAAGCGCTGGCGGGCTGCAGCTAACACTTGACTGAGAATTTAGCCAGTGCCGGGTGTGTGGACAGCACACCCTTAATCCTCACTTTTCCTGAGTCAGAAATCACTGCACCTCGTGCATGGCTGATGCTTAGAAAGGTTATCCATGCAAGGTCGTGAGGCAGGAAGTGGCAGAGGCGTAATTCCAGGGGGCGGATCTGACTCGGAGACCCCTTTCTCACCAGCACTCTTCTGTTAGAGCCGAGCGCTGAGCGGCAAGAATGCTGACCCTTTGCGCTCTGGCCCACACCTGGGTTATGTTGTGATAGTTCTAGCGCATGGCAAAGGAATTCTGGCAGGGTCTGGCCAGTTCACCATAAAATAGGGAGGCTGTCCTCAATTCTACAGGTGAGCCCCGGGAACTGTCGAAGGCCATGAGGGCAGAGAGGGGAGTCAGAGGCTGGTACGAGGCGGCAGAGAGGAAGCAGACAGGGCCATGCACCGGCAGTGGCTCGCAGAAGGGGCTGGAGCACAAGCGGGAGACGAGGTCCGGGGCTGCCAGGAAGGAACGGGCTGAGTTTAGGTATGGAACCCCGCCCAAAGCCCCGGCACAACGCACACCTTGACTTCAGCCTGAGAGAATGGAGGGGGCTCAGCAGAGCTGCTTTGGGCCTGCACTTGTGACCCACATAACTGTGAGGCCATAAATAGGTGGCGATTCAAAGCACCAAGCCTGTGAGAGCTCGTTACAGCATCCCTGAGAACGATTACAAACCCACACGCATCCTCTTAGGGCCACAATGCTCTCAGTCATTTCTCTTAAAACTTTAGTTCACGAGCAACCTAGACTCATCACCCTCAGAAATGGCCAAGAAGCTGAAGTACCAACGTAGGTCCCAAGGAGTGGGTCCTGGCTTCCTTCCTCCACTTCCTGATGCCACTTGCCAGTTCCAGGAGGAAGCCCGTCAACTGCATGAAGCAATGCCGTGCCCACTCGCAGGGCCAGGAGCTGGATTGCCCTCTCTCCCCAGGCACTGCAGCCTCCCCTGGTTCGTGTCGCTCCCTACTGTGACCAGCATTGGGCTCCCTGGCACCAAGAAGGCACCAGAATGATCAGCTACGGCTCGGGAACCCGAAGACTCTCATTCTGCTTAAAGCCCCACTAACAGAACTCCTGATCACCTCAGCAGACGCGGCAACCGCTGAGCTTCCCTGTGTGATCGAGGCAAGAGCCCACTGACCATTGTGCTGCCTCTGCTGTGGCGGGCCAGGCCAGTGAACCAAAGTGGGGAGAACAGAGAAAAGGCTGACAAAGGAGAAACCACAGTGCTCACAGTCAGGGAGGAGATTAAAGCCTCCACAGGGCAAACACAAAAAACACTGCCGTAACCACACACACCGAACAGGCACCGTGGCCTCCGGGCACAAGGCCGATGCACCAGCCCCTCGGTGCGTCTCAGACCCCACAGCTGGTAGAAAACGAAACATCAAGGTAAAGGAAACCCCACCATGCTCAGCGCTGCAGGAGGGCGCCCCAACTCTCAGAAGACGTCTACCAAGAAGCTCGCCTCCGGGAGCAAACCCCACGGCAGGCCGAGGGGCGATGGCCACAGCGCAGCAGGAGCCGGCTCGCGGGCCTGTCTAAGCCCACCTCCCGCCCAGGCCACATGTCAGCTTTCCTCTGCGGGCTGAGGGAGGGGGTGTTCGACAAGGCAGTGCTGGGAAACACAGTACCAAGTAGAGCCAGAGCGTCTACGGATGGGTCAGCAAACCGTAACCGCGGTCTCCTGGCCATCTGCTTCAGGAATAAAGCTGCACTGAGAACAGCCGCGCCCTCCTGACGCACTGACTGCGGTGCTTTCCCTCTACGAGAGCAGCTGAGGTGCAGAGCATAACGGGAGCTGCGAGCATTAAATACGTATTATCTGCCTTCTCAGAAAAGCTCAGAGCCCTGCCTTGGACTGCACAGCTTTCTGGAGTGCTGAAGGCTCCGTCTCTGCCGCCCATCTGGTGGCCACTCGTCACATTTGCCAAGTAGGCACCAGAACAGTACTGGGTAGCTGAATTTCTACCTTTATTTGATTTTCACTCACTGGAATAGGCTGTCAACTGACCACAGCCTCAGAAGCCAGGCGAAGAGCCGAGAAGGCGCTACGACCACGTCAGCACTGCCGCGGTGGTGCGGGGCGGTGCCGGTGCAGCTCGGGATGACAGACCTGCGGGAGTCTTTTGCAATGAAGAGTGGGAAAATCAGACGTGTAACTACAACACGTGACACGCGAGCCATGCTTTTACATCAGACATAAAAATTCCAGATTTGGGGGCGTTCTGCCGATCCATAAACAAAACAGGGCACACACGCAACAGAACACCGGCAATGACGGGACCTGCGGGCACGGGGCGCAGCGTGGGGAGCTGCAGACCAAGGGAGGGGCGAGCGAAGACGGCGCGAGCCCAGGACAGGCCAGTCCGAAAACGGCAGCTGCGCAGAGAGGATGGACGAGCGCCGGTTGTGGGTGGCTCCCGGCCAGCGCCGGGGAGCTCGGAGGGCGGGAATGTCCTGAAAGGGGGATGGGGTGGGGACACACAATTCCGTAAACGTGCCCAAACTGTACACTGACTACAGATGGAGCTTACATTTCAATCATACCACGTGAAATTGTTTGTAAAAGCAATTCAATTCCACATAAAGATTTAAATTTGCAAAGTAAAACCCAAACACTAGACAGTGAAGGCACGCGCTCACGGCCGAGACTGAAGCAGGACACAGGAAACCGCAGAGAAGCCTTTCTCCTTAAGGCGTAAAGGGCGGCCCAGTTCCGCTAACGCCCACAACCTACTCGAGGCTGGCACACAGGAGTCTCGGACACAAATCTAAAACAGGTGACCCCATAGAGCAAAAGATTCCTAGGCACTTCATGAAAGAGACGATTTAAGTGACTAGTACACGTATAGAAGGGCCACACCAGACAGGTCAAAGGAACGGCTGGCCATGTCCGGCCCGGCCAGGCCATGAAAGCGCGACTATTCACACGTCGTGGTACATCGTGGGGACGGAGAACGAGACGCGGAGCCTTCGGCAGCCGAGCTGCGGTCAGCGCGAGCCGACAGTCCCGCTCCAGGCCGTGCGACCGAAGGGGGTCAGGCGCTCCCTAAGCCGGTGCTCCAACAGCCCAGTCCACTGCAGCCGGAACCGCCCACGCCCACCACGAGGAGCCCGGAGGAGCAAACGGAGCAGCACACAGCAACGAACAGGCAGCAGCCACGCAGCCAGGGTGACGCCGCCAAGCCTCGTGCGGAACGAGAGCCACCCCAGAGAGTAAGGAAGTAACAGCCGGCAGAGGCCCCAAACCACCCAGTGGCGGCACGTGTCAGGAGTAAAGCAGAGGGACCGCGCACAAGGCTGCAGTGGAGGCCTGGGCTGGATGCCAGGGTTTAAACGGTGACTGAGCAAGACGTAGGGGCACAGCTGGCAGGCTCTGAGGCGGCCCATGGGCCAGCTCACAGAGGGCCATCGCCAATTTCCTAAATGGATCACCCCATTGTGGTTGAGAGAGAAAGTTCTTGTTCTGCCTGCAGCTTAGCTTCCAACAGTTTATCAAAAAGAGCCCCACTGAGTACGGTGGGGGCGGGGCGAGTGAAGCAACCAGCAGACTTAAGCTGTTGTGGTGAAGGGCAGTGGATGCTCGCCATGTCACTCTCCTGACGGGGGTCTGGAACTTCACACAGCAACTGAGTAGAAACTAAAAATGTTAAAAAAAAAAAAAAAAAAAAAAAAAAAAGCTACCACCCTCCATGCCCAGACAGTGCGTCTTTGGGGAACAAGAAAACTGGGACTGTCCATGAGGGGTGCAGGGAGGGTGGGACCACAGGCTCTAATTCTCAATTTGCCGAAGGGGACACAGACGGGTGTTTCTGTTTTGGGCACTTCCTACACGTGGCTGTTCAGGTTTACAAGAGAAGATGCCATGATGCTGTATTCAAGTTGAAGGACAGAAGTGATTTTTGTCTGACACAATTCAAATGCAATTTGTATTGACTGACAAATTCCGGATAGAAAGGAAAAGCTCTGAAAAATCAGAATTTCCACGCTAACTTATGTGATGACCTCCCTTTTCTGTATAATCATAATCATCAAAATATTCTAAGCAACCATCAGTCTTCAACTGGATTGCCTCAGCCTCATAAGGTGCTGCCTGGCTCAGGCAAGCAAGCGCTGCCCCAGGACAGAAAATTCCTGTTGAAATAAAAAATAATATCACAACTGGCTGATTCATAAAAGCAACTATAACAAAATCAATATTGTTAAGACAAGACAGCACTGCAACATGTTAAAAAATAATCAAGAGTTCTTTTTGTTGGGAGTGACCGAAGATTTACTGACAAGGACTGAATTAGGGTGGTAAAGAATGGAGCCTTGCATCCAAGCTTGATAAAGTGGTAGTAAACTGACCTTGAGATCCTGGATAGGACTAGCTGAAGGTGACAGCGAACTGGGCCTCACATCAAGGGCCAGTGATGAGTCACCCCCTTTGGAATCTGAGTTTAGAATCTATATAAGAGACCCGTCCCCCTTATTGATTGGCAGTAGCTGCGGACTCCACGCTAGGGGCTCATCTCAGCTGCCGTCCGGGAGCAATAAACTCTGCTTGCTCAGCCTTTCTGCCTCCTGCCTTCCTTTCTTGCAGCTGGTCACAGAAGTTGGGACAAAACACTTTTACTGCCCGAGAACTGGGGTACAGACCAGAGATGCGGAAGGTGAGAGGATTCAGCAGAGACAGAGTGGGGAGCAGAACAGGCAGATCGACGAAGTACACTGCTGATGGGAGCAGCGGGCGGGCCAGGAGAGGTCTGCCTGGCCATGTGGATCTCCTCCAGGGCAGGCGGGGATTGAACTCATGCGGAAGTGGCTTAAGCTTCTTTGTGCTGTGCTTTAACCCACTGTGCCACCAGGGAGGGCCTCTATTCAGTTTTTTTTTTTTTTTTTTTTTAATTTATTTTCACATACAGAACTGGGGTACAGGCCAGAGGCTCAGGGGCGGTGAGAGGATTCACCAGAGACAGAGTGGGGAGCAGAACAGGCAGATGGATGAAGTACACTGCTGAGGGGAGCAGCGGGCGGGTCAGGAGAGGTCTGCCATGCCATGTGGTCACCTCCGGGGCAGGCGGGGATCGAACTCATACTGAAGTGGCTTTAGCTTCTCAGTGCTGTGCTTTAACCCGCTGCGCCACCAAGGAGGGCCCAGTCTTAAATTTTATGAATTAATGTACCTGTTTTAACTTTAATAGGTTGATTTTAAGAAAAATGCTATGATCTCAGCTGAAGGTCAACACGACCCCAAACTATTATTAGAAAAAAGATGATTGTGATCTCTCAGCCCAATTCATATGCTAATGTTATCCCACTGCTTGCTGGAAATGTATAAAATAAACCTCTGCTGAAACCAGAGCGGGAAGATGCACCCAGCTCCGATTCCCCTGTCTTCCTTGCGCCTGCTCCCCTTTCTTCCTCTTCAGAAATCTCTGCTAGCTGACGAGGCTCCCACCTAAAGGCCCTGCCCTTTGAAAGCCCATGATCGGGGTCAGTCCCTGACATTTGTTCTTAGACTTTTCTATACTTTCCCAATATCTACCAAGAGAAAATATCTTTAGATAAAACACTGAAAATAACTTTAAATAAAAGCTGAAAATCCACTGGATTATGATCATTATTTACTTACTTATTACTTACATATAATTACAGAAAAAACTACAAATTATAGCACAGTAAGATTGTTAAATTTCCTTCCCTATTTTAATGACCAGAAGGTATTTTGGTTGTTGGCATAAAAAAAATTTAAACTCAGAACAGAATTTCAAAGAAAAAAGGCAGATGTGAGCATGAAAGCAAAGCCAGGTTAGTGCTGAAGTTATACAGAGCAAATATTTCAAAGAAGAAATTTTGGGTAATTATCTAGACAACTTAAGCACACAAATTCTTTTCAGCAAGTGTTTCCAGTCACCACTGCCTCGTCAGTGCTGCTTCTTCTGTAACAGGATCCCCCACACACATCTTACGGCAAGCCCGTCCAGCGAGGAGGGGAAAGCCGCTCCCGAAAGCAGCGGCCAGCGCTCTGGAATGGCGCATCCACCCACCCCCTGGACACCCGGTCATGTGACCCGAGATCTGCAGAAGACACCGTGACACCCCAGAACAGCTACCTGAGCTTCCTCATCAAATACGCATGTGCGACTCTTTACTCCAAGGCTCAGACTAGAGGCTGGGGACATTCTCTATCCCTGCTAAAAAAGGAAAAGAAAAACCCAGCCTCTGCCCCCCACGTATGGTTGATGTGAGAAAACGCAGAGCCAGCTGCTCTTACCTGGAGCAGTGGATCTCACGGGCGGGGTCTTCCTCTTGGCCAAGAAGTTCCTCAGCTGGGCCTGTTTCACCGGGGACAGCTTGGCTGCAAGAAATGCACAGCCCGTAAAGCTGACGGCCCGGCCCTTAGGCAATCAGAGGCAGACGAGAACAGCGCCTGGGCAGCTGGGAAGGCTGACTTACCTGGTACCTTGGGCAAGGGCTTGGCATGAGAATCTATGGTGGTTTTCAACAAAGCGTTGCGCAGGCTTTCAAGGTCACTGTCAAAACTGAAACAGGAGAGTTACAAACTAGCCAACTGTGACCTAAGGATCTGAGGGGCAGGGCGGGTGGCAGGCAGTGGGGAGTATGAGGCTCCTAACGACAAGCACAAGTGGCAGACGCACCCCCAATCATGTCCTCCGTCTGAGAGGCCAGGCAGTGACCTAACACCAAATCCCACTCTGCCACACACAACTGATTAAAACGTGCATGCAGCACACAGGGGAAACACGCCTAGCTCGCCAGCCTCAGGGCAAACTATTGGCCAGGCCGAGGGCCGCCACCAAGCAAAACGACCCATCTGAGCCGAGACAGTAAGGCAGCCCAGTCCTGCCGTTTACTCTGGAACAGCTAGAGCGCAGCCCCAGGCACCTGCTGCATCGGCTCACGGCCAGGCGCGTCCCAGGCTTCGCCAGCCTCCCGCGAGGCAGTAGTCAAAGCCATCGTGGGGCAAAAGAGCACGACCGTGACCACGCGGGTGGCAGACAGCAGGACTTGAAGCCCCGTCCGAGCCCCCTGGCCCGGCACCCCTTCCTCCTCACGCCCTCTACTGCGCCGTGGCTGACAGGGCCTCCCCCACACCTGTGTGTGGAGGGGGGTGCAGGGGCGCCCGAGGACAGGCCCCACTGGGAGGTCTGGTTGTAGAGACGAAGCTGCTGCAGACTGTCCACCAGGTGGTTCAGCCTCTTCCTCTGCTGGTTGATGATCTCGCGGTTGTTGGCGAGGGTGTTGAACAGCGTCTCCCGCTCCGGCACAAGCAGGCGCCTGTATGGGCAGGCGCGAAGGAGTGAACACGAGTGCTTGAGGAGAGGGACCGCCCAGCAGGACCCACCCAACTACTCCACAGTGAACAAGTGAAGCAATTACTAGGAAAAGAGGGGTGGGTGGGGTGAAAGTCTACTGAAGCGGAAGGGAGAGGCGTGCAGCCGAGGACACGTAGGCCAGGTCCACGGCAAAGGCACAGGGCAGAAACCAGAGAAACGCTGAAGCGCCAGTCAACCATGTGGAAGTGAAACGTGAACTCTGCAGAAAGGGAACTGGAATAAAGAGCCTGTTGAGTAGTGAATCCGGGGATTTGTCATAAAGGAGAAGAAAGCCTGGCTTCTGTCAGCATCACACTTTTTAAAAACTCAACTTATCAGTCAGCCAGCAGAGGATTCTACCATCAGGCAAGCAGAGCCCACACTGCAGGCCCAGAGTCCTCCCCGGGAGGCTAAGCGTAGGCCCAGACCTGTGGACTCTGTAATGGGTCCCATGCTCCGGGCCAGGACCGCAAGCCCAGGGTCACCCCCGTCCAGCGTCTGAAGGATCCAGGACCCGAGCTGCGGCTCCTCGGGGCATGACTGACGTCGTACTGAATTTTGCTTAGTGATGTGTAAGCAGCTCCTGGTCCTGCCCCTGACATCACACCCAGTGCCCACTGACACATTCAGCGAGCCACAGCTCTGTCAAGTGGGCAGATAGCTCTCGGCTGGTTTCCCCACTGGGCTAGACACGTCAAAATCCAGTATTCTGAGGGCTTGCCTGCTTTTTGAGTTTCCTCAAAATGGGCACTTCACTGCTCTGTGCGAGTACTGCGTTCTAGTCCTGGGAACTACACGGCGCCCACCAGCCAACCAGCAGTAGGAGACTGGGTAAAGGCTTCCCCTGTCCTCACTTCTCTCATCTTTAGAATTTTTTACACTAACTAGAAATATCTCTCCAAGAAAAAAATTTGGAATACACAAAAAAGTATAAGGGCAAAATGAGTCTTCATCCATCTCACAGATACAATTGTGAATATTTTGACAGATTTATTTCTAGCCTGTCTTCCTTGTTTAGACTTCTGCATTGAGACCATCCATTATGATTTTTTTACCTTACCCTTCTGATAGCTCACGTCACAGGTAATGACTGGTAACAATCGTTACGTCATACCATAGAGAAAATGCACTGAATTTTCTGACAACGTGCTATTCAGTAGCTGTGGTCTCCTGTGTTGAGTAAACAACATGACAAATTTACTGAGTTGACTCCACTAACTTTTGGCCAAAGAAGCTGAGCCCAACTCTGTGCGGCCATAAAGTATATAAATTGCCACGAGGACTGTTACTCCTAGAGACTTCTAGAATGAGAACAGCTGGGCCAAAGACAGTGAACATTCAGAGGGGCTCTGAATGCCTCCAAATCGTTTCTGAGCAGAGCTGCAGCGGGACCCAGCCCACCCAGGCGCTGGGGCCGGACTCACTTCTGCTTTCTTTTTTGCTCCAGATGCCGATCCCACTCCAAGTCCAGAACGTCGTTCACATCCTGGACAGCGAACTTCACATACTGATGAAGGCGCCGAATTTCCTATGGGAAAGTGAAAAGGCAGATGCCTGAGAACGTCATTAAAGCGAAACCCAGAAGCTCCAGCCCAGCGGGATGATGGAAGGGCAGTGCTGAGAGGGGGCACCAGGAAGGGCGTGTGCGCTGGAGCAAAAGCTCTGGCTTGGGTCTGTTTTCGGCTCCTGTGAAGCATCAGGGCGAGGCGGGATCTTCCCCCGCTCTGGCCCCACGGCACATCCACTCAGATTCAGCTCTTCCCACCGCGCTATGCCCAGAACGGTCCAAGAGGCAGAGCTGAGGCGATTCGAACCTTGCTATTACTCACAGCAGAGGACACGGACATCATCTCACCAGTGAGACAAAGAATTTCTCCTCAGAAACAAATAACAGTGCCCGCATCAGCAACTGCATTTACATGACTAAAACTCTTAGCCACCGGCTCATTTCAGGGCGCACGAACCTTCTTTAGACTTGGGGCCAGCGCCGGCCTCCGCAGCCACGCAGCCTGACGCGCCACTCGCGCAGAGAAGGCAGCCCCCAGGCGCGCGCATGAGCACAGCGTCTGCCCGCCAGGGAGAGCGCGTCCATCCGCACACACGCCTTATGGAGCGGAGCGTTTTCAGCTGCTGATTTAGAGCGCGCCAGCGGGCTGCAGAAGGCATCAGAGCAGATCCCGACGAGATACTCAGCTGCTCTGCCCGCTGCCCAGCTTCGGCGTCTTCCCAGCTGCACGCGCCTGGAGGTTTCTTCCGCGCTCCCCACACGGCCACCCACTGCTCCTCTCCCGGCCCGTCACGTCCTGCTCTTTTCTATGGTGCTGCTGCCCGCTGCCCGCTGCCGCACACAGCCCCGCTGCACTTGCGCGCCCCCTTGCCCACGTGGCTTCTCCAGCAGGGCTGACATGAGACCAGGCCGTGGTGCCCAGCTCCAGAACCTGCTTCCTCGTCTTGCCTCTACACGGCGTGCACTCCCACACGCCAACAACCGCTACCTCCTGAGCACCAAGAAGAAAGAAAGGGCTCTCCTGCACGGGAGTGTCCTCCCAGAGCTGCCTGCTTCAAACACGAGGCTGGCGCCTCGCTGGGAGCTTGTGGCCCGTGGGCAGGGCAGGCGGGCAGCACGCCTGTGGGGCAGCCTCCGCGGCGGGGCGGGGGCAGACACCGGCGCTGCGGGGCTCGCGCCGCTCCCAGTGTCGGGGGGGGGGGGGCATTTCCTCTCTCCCGCCGCCAGGTAAGGGAACAGGGGAGGCCGCGGCCTCGAGCTCCCAGGGGCTGGGAGGCTGCATCAGCACCCAGACCCTTCCCCGGTGAGGACACGCTGCCAACTGGTGCCCTTCCGAGCAGGGCTCCTGGCAAACGGGAGCAGGTGGGAGATAAGCCGGTTAAAGCTTATGATCCAGCAACTTCGAATTGAAAAGTGGAAACAAAAATCAGATTTAACTGAAACAGAAAAAGTAGTTAAGAGTCCAGGACAAGTGACCAGCTATCGCACAGCACAGAGGAGCGGGCCCAGCGGGGCTGTGGCGTCGTGGCTTCACCAGGCCCCACGCCCCAGGCCCTCATGCACAACGCGCCCCTCGGGACAAGGGGCTCTGAAGGCCGAATTCACACACACAAGCCCCTGCAGAGGGCGCGGGAGGCGGCAAGCCGTCACTCCCGGGAGCATCACTCATGATCTGCTGGGGAGCCGCGCAGCTTCCTGGGCAGCGTATTTATTCTCCACCACACTTCGGGTTCAATAAAGGACCCTGTTTTCAGGGGATGCAAGCAGGTGGGCGGAAAGTGACGTCGCTGTCACAGTGCCTCCGGTTCACAGGGATGGGCAGCTCCACGGGCCGGCCGGCTGGGAGGAGCCTGGCGGAAGGCTGCCGAGGCAGCATGTTGGCTGGGTGCTCCTACCTGCAGCTGAGCCTCACTCTTGGGGTCCAGAGGCCTCTTGTAGAGCAAATGCAGGTACGCAGAGTCACAGTTCCTCTCGTTCTGTTCTCTGGCTTCCTCCACACCGGCAAAGCCCTCAAGCAGAGTTGTTTTCAGGGTACTGATATCTCCGTGGAGAGACTGGAAAGGCATGAGGATGTATGGCACAAAGAGCGTGTTCTGAGAAACAAGCACGCCTCCATGCATCACGGGAGGGGTCCCGCCAGTACCCGGAGCGAACAGCCAAGTATGCGGAGTCATGTGAAAAGAACCCTGCTGCCAGGAAAGGTGATGCTCCCGCTCACGACAGCACGCCCGTCCGCGCGGTCAGTGACGCAGGAGGCAAGCAGAGCGCCAGCAGCACGGACCGCACCTCTTGCCGCTGAGTTTGGGACACCGAGCTCCCCCGCCCCCGACATGCCACCTGAGGCGGCTGCTGGGGTCAGTCTGGAGGGGGCTGGTGCTAAGCCCTTCACCCTTCACCCCACCAAGCCACAGCTTCCCGACATGCAAAACAGCAGGCATCACAGCACCCGCCCCCACAAAAGGCTTCAGTGAGAGGCCAGTGAAGTGCAATGTATTTAGCACACGCCCGGCCCCAGCCAGAGGGAACAGAGCTAGTAACAGCAACGCTGCAAATCACATCACTGGTTTCACAGGGGCTGGCTGGCGGCCATTCTGCTTTACAAGCCACTTTACTATAACCCAAAAATTCTCTACAAGAGACAGAAAAATTTCAAATACATCTAAGCCAAATTAACAGCCACAATGAATCTTTACAGAACGCTGTGTATTCCGACTCCTTCCACACAGAAGCCCGAGGTAACCTGCCACCCCTGACATGTTAACAGGGCTGAGCTGAGCGCGGGCTGAGAAGCGCCCACCGCTTGCAGGGGCACGGGGAGCCCGCTCTGGCGGGGGACGAGAACGCCCTCCGGGGCCCACCCTCAGGAGACGCCACCGCACACGGACCTCTGTGGTCTCCTTAATCTCCAGGAGGAAGGAGCGCAGGCCGTCCGACTCCGTGCGCAGCAGCTTCATCTCCTCCGTCGTGCCCACCTGGAAGCAGGCTTGGGAAGTCTGGGTTTTCAGCTCTTCCAGTTCCTTCTGGAAGTGAGCGATCTGTAAGCCACAGAGGAGGACACTCAGCGAGCTGGCTGGCGGCAGCTCCCTCAGGACAGATGTCTGGGACACAGAGGTTCGAGGCCAGACAACACAGCGGCCCAGAAGCCGGCACTCAGAGCCATTCGTCTCCGGAGCGACTTCTGGAAAAAACCTGCAGAACAAATTTACCTCCTCCCCAATTCCGGTTATCAGGGGATCTGACTCCTTCCACTGCTGTCCCTGCTTTTCGGCGACAGGAGGCTGAAGCGATTTCACCTGCAATGGAAGGCAAACATCCTAAGATGCAGCCCGGCCCGGCCCTGCAGCGCTGAGGCAGTCGGTGCGCTCTCACGGCAGCGCGGCGGCCCTGGCAAGGCGCGACTAGGGCTCCAGCTCTCCCGCTCCCAAGCGCGTGTGCCATGCCCCCCGGATGAGGCACACTCCAGGGGTGATGCTAGGGCCGAACAGCCAGACGGGGTCCCCGCTCTCGTGGGCTCACTGAGACAGCGCGGATAGTGAAAAAGCAGCAGAACGTAGAGAATGAGACAGGCGCTGCTAGAGCTGAGATGGTGCAGGAAGCCCTCAGAGACGGCCGCCACTGAGCTGAGACCGAGTCTGGAGAAAGCGAGGGGAAGTTCTAGGAGAAGCACCTTCTCGGCAGTGTGATGTTCAAGTGCAAAGAATTTTAGGCAGAAAAGAATAAAAAACACAAAAAGAATGAGGCAGAAAGATGCTGGCGCTGCTCACGGCAGAGGGAACGTGAACGCAGAGTGAGGTCGGGAGGCGCTGGCGGGCAAGGCAGCTCGGGGGACGCTACTCCCCAGGGCCGGGCATCTCGCGAGTGCTGGAAAGACACCGTGGGCTTTACAGGAGTCCGAACTACTCTTTGATTCTCAGGTATCCAGGTATCCTGCTTGCCGCCAAACAACCCATGACAGGGGAGGCTGGAGCAGAGCCGGGCACTAGTCAGGAGACTGGGCAAGAGGTGAGGAAGGCCTCACACCGACGGCGGGGGGGACTGAGACGAGGCTTTAAACATACCCCACGTGCCCGCAGAGCTCAGACCTGCCAGTCTGGACGGGGAACAGGTGGGCTTGGGGTTTGAGCAAACACCTGGCTGCAGAGATCAGAGCACTAGAAAAGCAACCTGTCCCGCTGAGACAGCACCCAAGAATTCTGTTTCACAGAGATTGTAACTGGCGGCAGCTTTTAAACTGAGATCTATAGCAAGTTACATAAAACAGATTTTTGACTATTCAAGCATTCTTTAAAGATGGCAGACACTTAGCAAGATCCGTGAGTCGTGCGTGACGCCCAAATGCAGGCCTGTCAAAGAAGCGCTTCCTGCGCTGAGGGTCAGTCACACGGGAAACTAACACGGTTCTCTGAGGTCAGCCATAGCACTTAACTGGCTGTGGAAAGTAAAATAACCACGCTTTTAGAAAACCGAGAACAGCTCTGGCCCCACAGTAGGAAAGGACTCCCACACAGAACACACAGAGCACCGCACAGAAAAATCGCTACACTGACCTATACGGAAATGAAGAACTTGCACTCACTGCAAGAGGCCGTGAAGAAAGCAGTATATAAAAGTGAGTAATGACGTCAAATACACATCTAAATAAATACAGTCAATAATTAAAAACTACAAAGAATCATTAAAAGCAGCAGCAATAAGAAAGGAGCCACGCTGACAACAGGCGGGCCCTGAGAAGTGCCGGCGTCACGGGTGCGAGCCGGCGAGGGCCTTTGTATCTTCAACAGTGGGAGAGTGGCCGAGGCGCCGCCCCGCAGGACAGCTTTTCAGTGGCCACTCATCATATGGAAGACGACCGTGTGGGACGTCGGGGTCCTGCTGTGCTGCTTCTTGTTCTGAGTGGAGGGGCCGAGGCCGCTCGGGCGACACACACGGTGTGCGCGCCGCACGGCTCCCACATGCACGGCTGTCGGCAGGACAGCAGACACAGCAACCCGAGACGGCGGGAAAGGGCAGGGGGCGGGGCGGAGCCGCTTCTGGGCCGCCACGGGGAGGAGGGAACACTCAGACGCTGCTCAGCGGTGGCAGGCTCAGGTCCGCGCGGACCCAGCCGGACTGCGGCTGCAGCGAGGCGTCTCGGGGCGCATACGATACTCAGCCCACCTTGTGGAGCAGCAACTCAGGTCCTGAATACCTCAGGGTGACCTCTGCTGGGGGGAGGCTGAGGAGCACAAGCACTGTGAGTGGGGTTCACACACCTGGGGGGAGACCGCCTTTGCCACCGGAGGAGTGATCCTGGGTGATTTCTGGGCCACCAAGGATGCCGGACTTGGACTGCCCTGTGCAGACGGCCCTGCTGGAATAAAAAGTCAGTCAGACAGTATTCAGCCCCATCATTTCTCCGCCACAGCTGTCCTGTCCTCCAAGCTGAAGCATCCTGTCTCTGGGCCCTTCAATGACCTCTGTTAAGAAGGGCGAGGACGTGGTATGTCACCTTCTGTTCAAGATGACTGAGAACATGCACTAACACTTCATAAAGCAGATAAAACTGGAGATCTCTGATCACAGTTATTTGTGTGCAGTATTTGTTGAACTAGGCCTGTGTGGCTTTGTTTTTGTTTTAAAGATTTATTTATGTGTATAAGAAATGGGGTACAGGCGAGAGGTGCAGGGATAAGAGGATTCACCGGGGACAGAGTGGGGGAACAGATCAGGCAGACTGACAAAGTACACTGCTGAGAGGGCAGCGGGGGGACAGGAGAGGTCTGCTGCGCCGTGTGGGTCACTCCCTGGCCAGGGATCGAACTCAGGCCGTGGCAGTGACAGCTCTGAGACTTAAGCCCCAGTCCACCCTGGAGACCCAAGACTTTGGCCCATCCTTACTCTGCAGAGTTTGCTGAAGTACCTCTTGGAATAGGAACAAATTTTTAAAGCCAAGCTCTCCCTGGTGGCGCAACAGGTTAAAGTACCACATTATGAAGCTCACAGAAGCCACTGCAGCACGAGTTTGATCCCTGCCTGGGAGCTGACTCCCATGGCGCGGCAGCCCTCTCCTGATCTGCCCGCTGCTCCCCTCAGCAGTGGACTTCATCAATCTGCCTGTTCTGCTCCCCACTTGTCTCTGGTGAATCTTCTCACCCACCACACCTCTAGCCTGTATTCCAGTTCTGTATGCATAAATAGTAAATAAATCTTTAAAGAAACAAAGTTTAAAGTCACAAGTTGAAAACAGTAAGTTGTGTTTTCACCTTGTAGGGGCTTCAGGACTTTCCTAGAAGCCTCGGGGCGAGTCTAATCCTATGGTGCATCAGCATCATCGGGGGCTTCTAAGGTAGGGAGATTTCATAAACAGAAAGCCCAAAATCTCTCACATCGCCTCACGAGATCGCGATGCCATGGTCTGCGAGGGGGTCTCCTGGTGACCCGGTGCAGCCGGACTGCTACAGCAGCCTAGATCAGACTGGGCTATCTAGTCTGAGCATTAAGGAATGGCGGCGAGGATGGGGCATCTGGGCAGGGAGCAGTGCAGCGGGAGCGAGCCTCTGGCGACACTCCGGGCAGAAAGAGACGTGAGGATGAAGGCAGGACTCCTTAACCTTGTGGGACACAGGCAGATGCCTTTCTGCCTCTGATAAAAAGCCCCCAAATAAGGTGACTTGGGCAAGTCCCGCAAGGCAGTTCTTCACAGCTCAATGCTCGCTCAGTATTTCCCAAACGCCTCTGTCACACACGAAGTCACCCCACTGGGGCTGGTTAGGAGTCACCGCTGGCATTCGTGAAAGGCACCTGTGGGCTGCTTCCCAGGAGGCCTGCCTGCACACACTTCCCCTGCTCTCACCTCGTGGAAGCGCTCACACCCCAACGAGAGGCAAGCCACTGCCCGAGGCCCTACAAATGTCAGTGCTGCGACAGCGTGAGCAGCTCTCTGAGGCCCACACTCGTGGGACAACGTGGGAAGACGGTGTGCGAGCGCTGGCTGGCTCCCGGGCTGGGGAGGGAGCCGTGAAGAACGAAGGTTAAGTGGGACAACTGTGGAAGTGTGTCAGACGGGCCATCGTCCACGCTGTCAAGGCTCCTGAGTTCGATTATGTGGCTTTAGGAGACTCACACTACAGTAGTTAGAAGGCAAGAGTTTCATGTCTGCAATTAACTCAGGGTTTTAGAAAAAGATACAAAAACAGGAGAGAGACAAACAAGTAATGGGAAATGGGAGCAAGCACTGAATCTCAGCGAGGGCTCAGCAGCCACTCTGTGATTTCTGCAACCTTTCTTGGGCTTGAAAGGAAAAGGCAGGTACTTTTGGTCAGAGATTCCTACAGTGCACCTCATCTCCACGGGCTGACTAGTACCGCCACGTGCGGCCTTCGGCGCTGCTTGGGAAAGTAACCGCGGCGGGCGCCGTCTCCTCTACGCAGCCCCGGAGCTGCTCCGTCGCTGACCTTCACTGACCGCCGTGAGCGGAGGCTGCCCCTGCAGCTAATGCCCCCACCAGACCCTTTCGGACAGCACCAAGAACACGCAGCTCCAGGAGCAGGGTCAGAGTTGAGCCGGGGGCCCGAGTCAGAGTCTGAACATCCGCGCGTTAGCATGAGATACAGCAAGCAGGGGAAGCCGTGGCCCGGCTACACGAGTGAGGACTGACCTTCAAAAAATATCGAGAATTCATGCCTGGGCTCTGGAGACGCTCGTGGAAAAGCTTACCTGATGCCAGGGGAGCAGCTGGGGCCTTCGCCGAAGCCAGACCCAACGAGGAGGAGAGAGCAGCGGGGGCGCCGAGGGGTGCAGAGGCGGGCTTGGAGGCAGAGAATGGCGGCGTGGACGGGGCGCTCTGCGAGCTGCTGACAGGGGCCGCGGTGACCACAGCGGTGAACCTGAAAGAAGGGCAGACAGCTGCAGGCACAGCACGGCCACGCAGGGCCGCCTGCTACCCTCCCGCTGCCTCCTGAGACAGCGGTGTTCAGCTCTTTCACGTTCAGGGTGAGAGCTGCGAGGCACCACTGACCTCACTGTCGCTTCATTAAGAAGATGCAATGCTAAGCCAGAAAGAGAAAGAAAAATACCGGATGGTTTCACTCATAGCAGGAGTATAATGGACCAGGCGAGAAAATAACAAAAATAATGAACA